ACTAAACTCATAGAAACACACAGATGTCTCTCCCTATACAACAACACTGCAATATCACCTCATACTAAAATAATCAATTCATAATAATATTTACAGTACTGATATAAATACAATTATTACTATCATTATACTGAGGGTTGATATCCCTATTATCACACAGTGACACACACACCACTAGTGGTGTTGGTACACATCAGCCTCACTCCATACAACAATAACTATCAAGATCTACTGTTCATAATTAGTCATATACACGTACATGCAAAATCACTTCCTTGCTCATAGATCATACAGCATACAATCTATGGCTTCCTTATGCTTGCCCTTTTAATGTTTTACATTCGTCTAGTACAGTACCAGTATAATACAATGACAGCTATACACGTACATGTACTGTGTACATGTCCTAACTAACCTTCACAGCTGCAAACAGCATCAGTGTGTCCTCATCATAGAATGCCATGGGAAGCCTGAAAGGAAGACAGTCCGTTATCACATGATAACATTAGAGTATAAACATCAACATGAGGGAGAAGGTAAAATAAACTCACATACTCTACTAGCATAGCCTGTACATATAGATACATGTAGGTACATACATGTACATGTACGACGTACATGTACTTAAAGTTTATTGACAGTTTCCTATCAGATAATATACACAAACACACGCATACTTTACTTAAATATGGTGCACTTTGTCATGTACATACAAGTACATGTACATGTACTTGTAATATATACATGTACATGTACTTATGTTGCGTAGAAACATCAAAGAAATACATGTATATGTACTTAACCTTATTTCCCCAAACCATAAGCCACTTCCTTCACTAAGGACACATGCAGTAAAGCACACACATGTTTAGTAATATGCATACATGTACACTGTACACTGTACACTAAGTCATTAGGTATAATAACAGAGTCAATATTCCCTAGCTTTTACTAAACTTACCCCGATCCACTTCCTAATGACTGCTTAGCAAGAGGGCGAGCGAGATTAGCAGTATCCCATAGAGCTAACTCAACTGTACTGGACTAGGGGGAGAGAGAGGGGAGACAGAGGAGGGGAGACAGAGAGAGGGGGGAGAGAGGTTTTTAATTTAAAACTTAAAAGTAGCAAAAATGAAAGGAAAAAAAGAAGAGATATTGCCAGCTGCACAAAGCTATATACAGTACTAATGTACATGAATATACACAGTACTATCACTAAGTGCAACTTACTGAGCTGTAGCCAGTGGAGACAAAATAATTAGTGTCCCCTAACCAAGTGACATATGAGTCCTTATTCTGTGAATGTTCGTATACTTCCTAACAATACAATAAATACAATTTTTATAATACCACTATGTTAATGATAAAAATGGTCCAATACATGGACATTACTCCATTACTGTTATGCTATTTTAGTGTTTATCATTGCAGCTGTACTCTATCTGGTTTAAATGTATGTTTAAACTCACTCCACTGATGGTATCAGCTCTGGGATCTACTATTAAAAGTCTCTTCTGCCTCTTCTCCTAAAACACCACACAAACACAAACAAGCAATCATAATAGCAATAGCAGACATACTGTTTCCTTGGCAACGGTTGCCAGGAGTGACCCGGAGCCATTCCAGCAGAAATTCTGAACTATGCTAGAATTATGCTTTGATACTAAAAAGATTTCAAAAAAACAACATATGTAATATATTGACTTTAAAATGACCACTATACACAAGAGTATAGCACTCAGTTACTTTAAATAAACACACTCAAACTAAAGATTATTATTAATTATCATATACATGTACATGTATATGATAATATTGGATTGTATTAAGGATTAGCAAATGAAGCAGAGGATTGTATAGACACTATTATTTACAATGACAATATCCTATGTGAAATCCTGTCATACACTTCATCATTACAATCAGAATCATGACTCATGGAAGCAAGTGCAGTAAACTAAAAGCTGGCCAGGTGTAGAGGAACGGACATTATAGTAAGAATATAATCCCCTTTCAAGAGAAAGTCAAAGTTCTTTATGGTAAAGGCCATTATTCATAATGTACATAAATGACTCTAAACTTATACCTTAATAGTTGAAGTGAGTAAGAGGAGAATGGGTCAATATCCTTCTCATATAATAAGCATACAAACACTGCATGTCCATATACTGAGATAAGGACTTGGTTAATTAGCATAACAAGACACTGATAGCCATCAGTATGGTAATCATTAATACACATATATACATGTACATGTACTAGTGAAGTGACATTAGTCACAGTAGACTATAGCCTCTATAATAACGGACAGTTTGGGACAAAGAAGTTTCGAAATGTCCCAATTACTCCCAAGTCTCCTTTCATTTTAACGATAAGACTCACTGTATTTCTCTTGCTGCTTGTTGACGTCCCATATAGAGACAGAGTGACCAGCAGTGCTGGCCAAGACATCACTAGCCACTGGATTAAAGTGCAATGTCTCAATACCTACTCCCTATGCATATAAATAATATGTACATGTACATGTACATGTGCTGTAAGTGAATGTATATGTATGTGTAATTGTGTGTGGTTATACTTGAGCTGGTTTTAGGGTACAAGATGCTGTAGAGGATGAGAAATCAGAAGTTACGGAAGCAGGATCTGAAGGCAGTTGCCATATCTTGATCTATGAAATAAATAAGTAAATAATAACAACAACAACAACAACAACAACAATAATAATAATAATAATAATAATAGTAATAATAATGATGATGATGATGATGATGATGATGATGATGATGATAATAATATAAATCTTTACATGTTAGTCTGTTACCATTAAAATAGTACATGCAATTACGATATGCAGTCACCAAGCAAAAGCTACATTTTTTCCTAATTATTACAAAGACGAATAATTATAAAAATGTTAAATGCCCATTTTAAGAAGCATCTCAGTGTCACTCATTAACGTTCATCATGTTCCTACAAGCATATCATTACAATAGTACTACCACACCTTAATCAGTAATAATCACTTCATTAGACCTCCCCCACTTTATAATTCCATGCTACATTAACTCTTAGACGTATAACAGCAAATATTTTAAATAACTTACGAGTCCATCCTCAGCTCCAGTGGCCAGGAGTGTATCGTCAAATGGAGAGAAAGCAAAATCAGATACCAGACCTGGAGCAAATGAATTTAATTACATTACATAATAATATACATTTAATTATGGTTTCATAATTGATAAATTTAATATTGCTCGTTATTTTTATGATGCTTAAAAACTGCAATGATTAATTAACCCTTACGCCCACCACTGACCAGAATGGCCGGCAACAGTTGGGAATGAAGAGTTTCGACCTGAAGACTCCAATGGAAGAACAGCAACTGAGCCTACGCCTATTAATAATTATTAGTAAAATTTATTATATTATCTGTCTCGCCCACGCACTGGTTGAGTTATGAATGAAGGCGGTATAGAGGACGCTGGCTTTGATGTTGGTACAATTTGATTTGAGATTCGAGCCCACACTCAAGTCGTGTATCCATTCCTATAGGAGGAAGGGAAAGTATTGCTAAATGTTCTCTCTCTGTTGTGTGTGCATGTTTAACCTCTTTCTTAAAGACGCGGGAGAAGGCATTTCGATACTTTGAGGTCTTGAAACGACTCATCTTTCTTGTCTTATCTTATCTTTCCTGCACCAGCTCCACCTACAAGCATGGGCGAGGTCTAGCTTAGTTCCCGGTAAATCGAGCGCCAAAAAAATTTAGGTTTTAGCATTTGTTTTAAAGCTCAAAATGAGCCTCTTTGGTGCTATAATGCATGATTTACTATAGCACAAAATGGTTTAGTTCATTTGCAATCCACTCCAGCAGCTAAAAGCGTAAAAGTACTGGAGAATTTTACTCATGATTTTACTATGGAATTTATGGAATGCGGAAGTTCATTTGAGCTTTGAAATGTTACTGGTTATTAGCTTCAACTACTTTATAATGTGAGGCAGATTGCTGGAAAGAAACGCTTAGTTAAACGAGAAAGATGATTGTTGTAAAGTTCTCCAACGACCACGAGCAGAGTGTTCAGGTAAGCCTTAGCTCATTGAAGCTTTTGATCATTAAACACCGCAGATCACTCCAGAGACTAAAGTGGTAGACGTATTGAGCACCTTGGCACTTAGTTTCGGTAAGAGAGAGATAAAACAGATAGAGAAAACTCCTTTATTTTGTACAGGGTTAACCGATACCAGCGAATTTGTTAAAGAATGGGGCCTCACTGAGTACCAGGGGGACCAGAAATGGATTGACAGTTAGCCTTTGAAATTTAACACACCTTACTCTAGCACACCTTGTAGAATCCTGGCTGAGAAATGAAGAGCTGCTGGCAGACTCTACTTCAGCCATATTCCTCCTTGGAAAGAAATTCTTCACCACAAATGATGACATTCACTTACTCACAATCCCACCTTTTCTAAGAGAAGTACTTTACCATCAAGTAAGGCTTTATGAAAATGGCAAGCTACAAGTTCAACCAATGCTCCATTCCTATACAGATGCTTCAAATATATTTATGTGGTGGCTACTTCTCCCCGGCACAACAGGCAATAAAACTTAGTGCATTAGCTGCACATGTCCACATGTCCACAGCTGAATATCTCACTTAGTAAGTCCAGCTTTATTTATCATTATGGATGCATGTGAATATTATATCCTTCTTTATAGTGGAACAGAATGGTTACAGACATTTCTTCCGCNCAGGCTTAGCCGTGTTAGGTGTCTACCATCACTGATTGGCAAGGTTAGATTAGCTGTCATTCTGTTTGTTTGCAATTTCAAGGACAGCTAGCTTAAGCTACCTCTTCCTTTTCTGCATGTTATAATTATAGCCACAAAGCACAATAAATTGGGATAATAGCTCATACACAAAACTCCTCATATTATAGCAATAATACAACAGGCTTACATCATCACTACTATATATGATGGGTGTATTTTATAAACTACTCCCAATCCAGTACCATGGATACTCCTTTTGCCTTTACTGGTATACCTAGCATTTGTATTGCTGCTTCACGCACAGAGAGATGAATGCTAACAAGATTAATTGTGCCAATAATACATTGCTACTCCCACAATTTAGAATATGAAAGGAATTGGTGCAAGGAACAAAGCAGTGGTCGAGACTGCATTTATAAAAGGAATCATGAGACTCGAGAGTTTTGGATTGAGCCTATACAGTGCTAATGTAAGCTAGTATAATACAATGAAAACTAATGGGATTATTGTATATTATATCTAATTATAGATTGACCATCAGCCTGCTGTACTAGGGGTCGGTTTCAAGGGACTTTTCTGGCTAGACACTGATAATTTTGAGGTGAGAAGAAGCAATCCCATTTTGTCATAAACCCCGTCATTGATTATACTCCACTATCAATCCCACTCTCTCCTCTCTTTCAAAACCTTACATAACAATCCCCTATGATCTCTCTAACTTTATTATCAAATTGCATGTCCTTTATACGTCTTCCTCATTATAATATAGCCCATCAAGCAATGGCCACCCGAAGCCATAAAGCAGATAAGCCAATCTGACGATACTCTACTAGTTTCATTCAATGGCAGAGAAGCTGATATTGAAATTGAGAGTCCCTACACTGCTGATATAAGTCACTATATCAGTTCATCACTGAGAATACACATTAGTAGACCATCAAGCTATGCTTTGGAAGCAGGTGGAGATGATGACTCTTCTCACACAGGCATAGAAATAGTTAATGTCCAGGAGATACCCTCTGTAGAGATAAGGAAAGAGAAAGGGAGAAGGAGAGGGAGAGGAGAAAGAAAAGCAGCAGCCACAGAAGAAGCAGAAGATGTTCCAGGAGCAGCTGGACTTGATAGGAAAAGGCGTATCTCGCCGTTTGGTCGTTACAGTAACAGACGGAAAGCTTTTCGAAAGAAGAAGAACCTCCTCACTAAGGAGGACAGTCTTGAAGATCTCAGCGAGGTGATGGGGGTGGATTTCAACAGCGTCAATCCTTCTTGGGCCATGAAAGGTAATGGGGTCAATCCTGTGTACGATTCAGTCGCTAGTACTCGTGTCGATACTCTATTGAAGTTATCCAAACTGACCTCTCCTTCTCTCTCGACCACGCTAAAACACACTAAGAGATCAAGTGTGTTAAACCACAGGGTTCCTTTACCGTATGAAGAGGTTACGTTTCCTCCTCCACTACCACAAAAACCACCTCATTTCCGGACTAGCCTGCTAGTAGAGGTGAAGACTAAAGGTGTTCCCACTCCGCCAGTTGAGGAGGTAGGAGCTGTTCCCCAGAGGCTGGGTATGTATGTACCAGGTGGGGGTGGACAACATTCAAGACCAGTACAGCCTTACGAAGCATTGAGGGTAAGCATTAAATAAATAAATAATAATAATAATAATAATAATAATAATGATAATGATGATGATGATGATGATGATGATGATGATGATGATAATACGTCAGTTATGGCCACACACACATAAAAGCATTTATTATTATTATTGTTATTTATTATTATTATTATTTCCTTATCTGGTTGATCATGATACTATAGTATGGGCTAGTAAGTTTCACTCCATTACACCTACAGACTAGACAGCTGTCTATTAACCTACCTCCAATAATGATAATGCCATAAGCACTACCTTGTATTGGGTGGTCTTGCTTTGCTTTATTACTATAATTAGTCATAATATATTTATATACCGGTCTTTCTCTTTCATTGAAGGATTATGCTACTCTACGTAGAGAATTCCGCATGTTTTGCGTGAAATTACCAAATGGAAATTTACACTGGGAACTGGTAAGGAGAGAGAGAGAGAGACAGAGAGGGAGGGAGGGAGGGAGAGAGGGAGAGAGACAGACAGAGAGACAGAGGGAAAGTGTCTATACAATTATTGTGATAGTTATAATAATTCACACTCCCCACACCCAACACACACTCCACAATAGGCTAGTCTTTATCAGCCGATTCACAAGCTGATATCAAGACTCTGCATATTGATACATGCTGAGTCAAACATGGAGCAATACTCCCTGTTTGTTGAAGGAGGAATACTATCACAACTGAAAGAGAACACACCTTTAACTCCAGACGTAAGTATAGACATGCAATGACCATGCACACATGAAGTGAACCATGCCAGATATCAGTATAAGCATAATGTTATGTAGGAAATTAAAATTGATTTTTCTCGCAGTCTGTGAGAGTAATTATGATAATAAAAATTCCCATTTATGGATCCTTACAAGCAGACAGAGTTCAGATTAATTACTATTAAGAAAGTTAATCGTATAATGTACGTGTTTGGTCTAAGACATTTGGTCACAGTCACGTTATATCTTGAAAATGAAATTAATCAAATCATATCTCTACTATCGTATCCTTTAGATAATTGGCAATGATATGGATTGGGAATTTGAATTTGAGCTCTCGAGAGTTGCACCACCTCGTAACGGAATGAACTCCATGGGAAAAGTATTTGTGCCTTCAAAAAAGCACCAAATATTACCAGGTGGGAAAGATTAGAGAGAGAGAGAGGAGGAAGGGAGTGATAGATTATGGAAATAGCTCAGGAAGGAAGAGAGAGAAAGAGAGACAGTCTTTTACATTGAGCAGTATATAAACGGATCATTAAATTATTCACGCTTTTTAACCAACAGTTATGGACAATCCGGTCATCCTAGACTCAAAATTGACATTTAAGGATCACGGGATCACCACTAGCAGACTCCTATCACTTAAGTATGGCCATAACAACTTCACTGACACACAAACACACACAAATAAAGACACACACACACACAATACACTAAATCCAATGCTAGTCACACATGTACTACTTATGCTTATCTTTATGACATAATAAAATGCAACTCCACACACATACATATACAAATTCTACTCATGTAGAATGACCATTTCTATGATGTGCTTACTCACTGTCCCACAACAGGTCAGCTAGTAATGAAAGATTACCAAAGATGGCCATCAAAGTCCCTGACTGGGTCAAGTTCCATCAGTCCTGGCTGAGCATTGTTCATGGCAATCAACCATGCCAGCTTCAAGATGCAATCACAGTTAGTACTTTCATATATATATATATAATGATATTGTTAGATCTAGAAATTAATAATCATGAGAGATTAAAAGTCTCCTAAACTCTGACAGTGTACATATACATGATTATTCATAAATGATGTCCATACTATTCTTAGTATGTATTTAAGTATCATATTACCTTACTACCAATATAGGTAATGAGTATACTACTAATGATAATAAGCAATACACCGATATGTCTGTGTGTTTATAGAGTGCATCCATAAAAATGGAGTCTAGTAATACAATATCAACCTGTTATGCAGGCAAACTGAGATTTTATATCACCAGAGATACCAGTAGGATATAGGATAACATTCAGTAGGGATATCATTTCACTTAAGAAAGATCACATCATTAAATGATACTAATAAGGACAGCATTATAGATTCTATGCTTTCTTTATTGCATCTTGTTGTGGCTACAGATGCTGCTAATGATACCTTGAATGTCTTTAAATTTTAGGCTAATATTTGCTAGTGTCAGGATGCTGGCCATATTGGTCAGTTAATAGGCTGTTGCCAGGAACTGTGGGTGGTGATTTATTGCCCAACTAGTTCTTGTTTTAACTCAAACATACAAGCAAGTGCAACTCTACATTTAGTTTAAAAAACCACCTAACAGTAAATGTAATCCATAAGTTTACTAAGACTGGAATTTTGAATGTGCAAAGTTTATTCTCAGGGAATTATGATTCCAGCCAGATGGTCACCAATTTGTCATGGAAGAAAGCTAAAAGCATTCCTTTCCATACATTGGCTTATTTGGCTGCAAATAATAAGTGCTAATGTTTTCATATCATACATAGTGATATTATTCAATTTGTATGACTTCAGGCTGTACATGACTTAAGTAATTAAGATTTGGGGCTTTAGTTTATAGTATTGATTTACATACGGTCCATACTATTATGCTAGCTCTTGCGTTTATGGTCTGAAGAATGAGTAATTTAATTATGAATGTGCCTTACTGTCTGTCTCTCTCTCATTGTAGTTGGCAGCAGTTTTATACCAATGCTATGTACTGGATAGAACTGAAGCTAATTCCGTTATAAGCTCTTGCAAGTAAATAACAAATACAACCTTTCTCTCCCTCTCTTTCTCTCTCCCTCTCTCTTTTTCTCTGCTATTTATATTTATATATTTTTTCTTACGTAGTATCACTGATTTCTTGCCGGTTGGATTCAGTGGTATTAAAGGCATTAAAGACAAAATACTAAAGGAAAGAGAGAAGATACTATCATACACACGAGAGGAGTTGGAACAGATCTACATCACCGGAGCCACTTCTTCTCCTCTTCATCAAACTGTATTCTTCCCCTGCAAGGTACGCAACATAAGTACATGCATATGTATTAAGAAAAATTATAAAAATGAAGAATTTTTTCTATTTTATTTTTCATGCAATATGACTCAATTATAAGTTAAACAACATTGATTTAATTTCTTACCTTTACAGGAACCAAAAAGGCAATTTTTGAAGAGTGCGAGACTAGTTCCGATCATCATTGGGATCAATCAGCAGGGGATTGTACGAGTTGATCCTAAATCCTGTGAAGTAAGAAGACGACATTTAATAATAAAACAACTGTCATCATTTCTTATTTCTTTGGCAGATAATGAATATATGGTCTTACGAAGTCTTTAAGAACTGGGGCTTCTCAAGAAAGAGCTTTTTATTAGTAAGATCTTATAATAATACTGATAGCATTATTATTATTATTCTTTTTAAATATTTTTTTAAAACGTAGGAATTTGAGAGCAGCACTTATCCAATAAAATGCAATCAGAGCAAATGGATGTCAAGGCTTGTTGATTTCTATGTCAATTCGATACAAGAAATTAAAGTAAATAAATAAATAAATAAATAAATGAATAAATACTTAAAGAAATAAATAAATAAATACATAAAGAAATAAATAAATGAATAAATACTTAAAGAAATAAATAAATAAATACATAAATAAATAAATAAATAAATAATGGTAATAATATTAAATTCAACTTACTTCCATTCTCTCCTTATATAAAGCATCAGAGGATTGAGGATGAGTTAGAAGAAGTGAGAGAGGAAGAAGAGGAGGGACACACTCAGAGCTCAGATGTAGCAAAACCATACTTTGTATTGGAGGAAGAAGCACCAGCACTTGCTACTGCCACAAACCCTTACTTTGTCCTAGAAAAAGGTCAGCATAAATAAATAAATAAATATATAAATAAATGAATAAATAAATAAATAAATAAATGAATAAATAAATAAATAAATGTACAAATATATAAATAAATAAATGATAGCAATTTAAAGTATAGTTTTACTTTATAAGTGGCCCCAGATTTAAAAAAAAAGCAATTCTCAATTCTACGATGAAAAAAACACAACATAGTTTACTGCTAGAATCTACCATAAAAGGACAACATTGTGTCAATTATGGACATAGTGACATACCAGCACCAAATCTCTGCCAAATTCCTAACTTTATAAAGCACCTAATAACAGGAACTAACAGCCCACACTCATGCATATTTAAAACACCAACCATTTGCAAATATTCCTTATATATTAACCTTTATTTATCCACCCACACACACTTGATAAATGATACTTATCTATATATAGTGTATGAGGAGCTTATGCAAGTTAGAGATACCACAATGCAAAGGCAGAAAAAACAAGAAGAAAGAGAAAGGGAGGAAGGAGCAAAAAATGCAGGAGCAACAGGAGAAGATAAAACTTTTCAAGTGGTAGGAGAGAAAAGGGTAATGGATGGGGTCTATGTAAATCCACTTCCAAATTGTTCTCTGATTAATCCAAGCGAAGCAACGACCATGCACCTACAAAAACTTGGACTAGTTCCTTTAAGAGACCATGAGGAGGAGGAGGAAGAAGAAGATGAGGAAGACGAAGATGATGAAAGGAAATATTTCACCGTTATAAATTACAGCGAGTCTTCTTCGGACTGGGAAGAGAATAATGAAGAGGAGAATCCTTATGATGATATACTAAACGTTCTAACTCAGTTCCATCACTCTAAGAGACAAACTCCAGTTATTTCTGAGCATATTTATTATCTTCCTCCAGACTGCTATCAACCAGAACATCATTTATAATAATAATAATAATAATAATAATAATAATAATAATAATTAAATAGCCAGAAAAAATAATCAGACTATCGTATAAAATACACTTATTGATATATCCATGTTCATAACTCATTCACTTCTACATGTTCTTGCTGTTGTGTTAATAATGTGATTGTCAATGTTGTTTAGCGTTGATTTTAAGTTTAATTGTACAAAATGGTTGCTTGAGTTTTGTATTAGTGATGACTTGATGGTCTGGACTCCATTTAAAGACTGCAGCAAATGGCAGACTGATCTATGAACATTTTTGAAAGAAAAAAAAATTGCATAGGTTGAAGTGTAAAAAATAAAATTAAGCTATAACTTTTTGTGAATTGCTTGAAAAATAAACAAGAAATTATTCATAAAAGCATACTAGTATAGTTATAAAAAGTTTTTATACATGCATAGTTAGAAATTGATACATTTTTAATACCTGTACTTTGATGTCCTCTGCAATAAAATGCTAATCTTCTCAAGATTGGTAACATGAAGTGATGGCCTCCTCAGACAAGACAATACTGTACTGTAATAATTACGGGAGGTACATCGCTCGACAAAAACTAAACAAATTAATCTTATAAGTAATTCTATCATAATAGACAACACAAATTCTACTCTACCAGAATTTAAATCTTAATTTCATTTCACATTTAAAGATTGCTCTTTTTACCTGGTTCTGGCATCAGGTCTATTAATATGTCTAATACTTTACTGGTCAGTACAACTGGCTGTTTCTCATTCTTCAGTAGAGAAAACATTGCATCCATTCCTCTGTACAGCATAAACAATTGCTGGACCTATTAGCCACAATAACAGAGCTTAAGTAAACTGGTAGAAATTATAACTGAAACATCATACAGTTGTTATCTTCACTACAATAACTAATGGAACTATGGTAAGGGAGTTTAAGTCATGACCAAAAATGGTTACAATTGATTTTTATTACATTTTCTGATACATATTGATGTCCTTATGCTGTGTAGAAAGTTTGAGCTGATTCCGACTTTAATTGTTTGAGTTATGGCCATTTTAAGAAATGAGCCAAAATCTGAAAAGTTCCCTTTACTATAGCCCATGGTTTTTCCCAAAAAATGGCTCCAAAATCACCCCCAATTTTTATTACATTTTCTAATACATATTGATGCCCTTATGCTATGTAGAAAGTTTGAGCCGATTCCGACTTTAATTTTTCAAGTTATGGCCATTTTAAAAAATTGCTGGTTTTTTGGAAAAATCCCTGTACTATAGCCCATGGTTTTTTCCAAAAAATGGCTCCGAAATCACCCCCAATTTTTATTACATTTTCTGATACATATTGATGTACTTATGCTATGTAGAAAGTTTGAGTCAATTCCGACTTCAATTTTTCGAGTCATGGCCATTTTAAGAAATGGACCAAAATCTGAAAAGTTCCCTGTACTATTATAGCCCATGGTTTTTTCTGAAAAATGGCTCCAAAATCACCCTCAATTTTTATTACATTTTCTTATGCTATGTAGAAAGTTTGAGCCGATTCTGACTTCAATTTTTCAACAAAAATAGAAATTAGAAATAAACTATATGACTATGCTCATGTACATGCAGTATAAATGCTACAATTAGATGTACATAACTCAGTATAATATACATGTATTAGCTAGAGAATAGCGGAACTTTTGAAACAAAACAAACAATATACCTTAGAGCTCTTTAAAACAGCTGTTAGTCTTTCCAAAATATTCGCCAATTTATAAACTGCAGATAAATACAGATCATGCATCATGTGAAAGATAGGGAAACAAAAGAAAAACAAAAGAGGGAAAGAAAGAGAGGGAGAGAGAGAGGGGGAGAAAGAGAGAGGGGGAGAGAGAGATAGGTGTACCAATTATAACAAACATGCCACAAAAGCGGAAAAAGCCAACAATCTGATTCAAAATAAATTCTATAAACAATAGTATACACACGTACATACATATTACATGTGTAATTATGCATGTATGAATCTACCATACCCTGAGTAATGGTATGTAGTGATATAAGAGAACAGAGGACGTCAACTTGAACATTTTCATTAGGAACAAACTGGAACAATAATTAAATAAATAAATAAACAAACAAATAAAATAAATAAACAAATTGTAAGGATCGTGGCGTACTTGTGTACCTTTTCAATTTTTTCCCCGAGTCTCCTTAATGAAGTGATGACAGTGGTGTGATGCTAATATTATCAATTATAATATTATTAATATTAATAAATTACCTCTTCTTCTGCAAGAGTACTTGTACTTAAATGAACAAACTCAAGTAGGGTGAGTAATTCGGGTGTGTCCACGCCAGAGGGTGTCACGTGATTTAGTGTCATGTGATTAACGAGAGAGGGTAGGATGTCAAGTGACATTGCTAGAGTGGTTTCTTTCATTGTCTTGTCGAGAGGAGAGAGAGAGTTGGCTTGAAGCTGTAGTCTTGTTAGCCAGTGCATTAATGAATTGGTTAGAGTTTTTAATGGTAACTGATCCTGAGAGAGAGAGAGAGAGAGGGAGAGAGAGAGAGAGAGAGAGAGAAAGAGAGAGAGAGAAGAGTTGAAGACAGTGCTATATAACAATGATGAATTACCTCTTTTAAATGCTCATCCATTTTCTTCTTAGCCTAGTATGTACATGTATATATAAAATAAGACACAGCATCATTGACTATTGATACATGTACATGTAAACTTCATCTAAGTTACTTTCATTTTGGCAATTTGTGATTGTAATGATAATACTTGAGACATCAAATCATCATTACGAGTTACCAGACTATCGCACTAATAATAAAATAATAATAATGGTGTGGGTGTGGTCTGTTACCATAGTTACGATTACCTTCTCCTCTAGGTCTGCTTGTACATGTTCCATTTGTTCTCTCTTGGCAGAGATCATCCTTTCTCGAGCTTCTAAATTTTCTTCTTTTTCTTGCAGTTTCTTTTGTCTTTTCCCAAGGAGTTCTTCCATTTCTTGTATTGCACTGAATTGCTTTATTAACAAGTCATTTCTCTCTTTCAATTCTCTTTCTCTTATTAGAAGCCTCTCTGATTGACTCTAAAAATTAAATAAAAATTTTTACAATATCTATCTTATTATCATGCCTTAAGCTTTTCTTGAATTGATAATATTTGTGAATGGAGTTCTGATTCAAAAATTTCCGCCATTTTTTCACAAGTAGATCTAAAATTAATTAGATAATCGATTCAGAATTTTTATTAGACACGCCTACCAATGCATAAAAATCTTCGCTTGTGTGCAAGAAGCTCATTAATAATGATGATAGGAAAAGGACTCTTTGTCTTGCTTCTCCTCCTCTTGATCTGCGCCACAGTAAAATGCCAAGGTAAGTTTAATAGTAAAAAGGAACCTTTTAGCATTGTTTTTATCTCTTTCCAGGGAATTCCAGTCAAGACACAAGGTATAAAATTTAGTCTTATAAAAATACCACTAAAGCCATATTTGCCCCCTTCCATGTTTTCTCTCTAGTTTCTGTCAGCCTTACAACTTAGCATTAGACCCGTGCGGGTTCAAACCAAGAAACAGGAGCTACTACTTACCTAATGGCACTGATCAAAACTTTCAGTCTTCTGTCGAAATACTGGGCATCATTTCAAGAGCTCTTGATAATAATAATGAAGGTGAACTGAAATGCAGCAGCTATGTCATACCCCTCTTCTGTCACTACCTCTTCCCTCCCTGCAACAATGAAAGCTTACCCATGCAGCTCTGCTATAATACTTGCTTTAATCTAACAAGTGGCCCTTGCTCTTCCCAATGGAATGAACTCTACCAATTGGCCAATACTTCAAACACGCTGCGTTGGTTTTTACGAGATTTGGACTGTTCTCGTACTTACTATAATGCCAATTATGCTGATAATAGAACATGCTGGAATGCAGAAACAGACATCAATATGACAATAACATCAGAACCTCCAGCATCCACTACCTCTACTTTAAATGGAGGAAAGCATTATCAGGAAGATCTTTTGATTATCATAGTTACGCTTCTCATGACATTTGAGGCTGTACTGCTACTGATATTCATTGCTGCCACTTTAATCATTGGCCGCATGGTCTGCAAAAGAAGAAAAGGTGCTTCACATACTTTTGCTAATCTCAATCAATCAAGCACAGTAAACTTTCCGTAAGCATAATATTGCATGTAATATAAGCTGCATTTTATTTGTAATGTAACACAGCATAATTTCTACTCCTTTTTTAGACTTCGGCCAACTGGTACTTTGGCGAGACTAGTACAAAATATATCGACAAATAGCGATACGATGCTTCAAAGTTGGTGCTTTTTTTTCTTGATTAGAGTTGAGGGTATTTTTTCACTTCCTTGCCAGGTCACAGAATGCTGTTGGAGAACATCCCAAATCCATACAAGGCTGTCCTGAGTGAGTATACTGATAATATCCTACAGGCAGACAAGCTACAAATGAATACTTTCTTGGCTGACGGTTAGTAGATAGAGTATCTATATCCTTATATGTGCCTCCTGCATGAAAACATTCAAATATCATGTACTAAAAACAATAGGACCATGCACCGAAGTGTACCAGGGGAATTACTGCGAGCCGCAACCGCACAATACGTGCGTGACACACTTTGTAGCTGTGAAGAGATTTAAAGGTAGAACAAAATAATGCATGAAGCATCACTGTTATTGTGTCTATGCAGTCGCAGATGATTCAACATTGGTATGCAAGTATCTTAAACAATTGCTACGTCTGAATAAAGCGACACATTTGAATGTATTGAAGCTGGTTGGTGTTGCTTATGGCCCCAAGGACAATGTTCTGATAGCGTATCCGTACTTCTCGGAACACAACCTGCTTAGTTATCTAAGGAAACTGAGGCTAGATTCAAAAAAGGTAATAGGATCATCATACGACTGATAACAAAATGATAATGCTTAGTACACAAAAACATGCACTCAACATACTATTACTAGTAAACAGAATGTAGTAAACTTTCATAATTTACGTTGCAGATAACAGATGTGGAAAAGTTAGTGGATCTAATGCACCAAATATCGAAAGGGATGAATGCAATGGCCAGAAAAGGACTAGTTTATGGGATGCTCTCTGTTCAAACGTGCCTGTAAGTTAATTAGCTCATAATCAGCAGTAAACAACAGTTAATATTGAGCCGTGTTTCTGTCTATGTATTTAGTATTGATAGTGAGGGGACTGTTGTGGTAGGTGACCTCAGTTACTATAGTCTTGTAAACTGTGTCAAGATTAACTTGCCTCCGCCAGAAATGGAAATTCAAGGGAGTGAAAGCACAGAAGCAAGCGACGTGGTAAGTTAAACACCACAGTGAAAGGAGGAAATGCTTCCTTATGCAAACTGTGCAACATGTACATTGCATTTCCTTTTATAATTGTGTAGTGGTCCTTTGGCCTGACAGCATGGCAGATACTCACACTAGGAGAGCCACTACCTGAAAATAAGGATGAACTAAGAAAACCAGGGACTTGCCCTGATTCACTGTAAGTTGTAGCCTTCCTTTACCATTCATGGTTGTAGCAATTTCAATAGTTGCTGTAATAATAATGTTAATGATGCTTTGCATTTAAAGAGTATGAACTTTTGTCTTGAGTTTAATGGGGTTACTATTGTTGCAATAGCTAAAATTTTACACTGTAAAAGAATGCTTGGACCATTGTACCTCCTTTTTGCTATGCCACACATTGAAGATGTAAACAGACAGACACCACCTGCACCTCCTACACAACTAATCCAGTTAATTAATTGGTGCGGCGAGTCCTAAAAATAACAATGAACATGTCAGAACAAAAATCTAACTTTCCAAAGATAACTTAACACTGTAACTGGCAGCAGTGCATGCATGTACATTATATTGCTTGTATACATTGGGCAGTTGTTATTTTTATAATTTCTGTCTTGCAGTTTTGAGCTGATCCAATGGTGCCTCGAGAGTAATCCAAAAAAACGTCCAATCTTCTCCAAGATAGTCCTTGAGATTGATTCCATGAGGAACAGCGAGGAATTCAGAGCTGAAGTGGCCGCACGATCGAAACTCGAAAACGCTTGGAATTGCACCCAAGAATACCTTGTCCTGATTCCTGAGAATGAACCAATAAGTGAATATCAGTATTCAGCCATTACTGCTCAAGGAGGCAGCAGCAGCAGCAAGCGTTCCAGCGCAATCCCAAGACAAAGCAGTAGCCATGAAGACCATACTGTATTGCCAAGATCGCTTGCTCCAGCGTCACCTTTTAGTGATGGACATCAGCATATGAACGGGCATTTAAGATCTTCTATAGTACAAGTAAGGCAGCTGGACACAGAAGATGATGAAGGATATGTTGATGTGAAGGTGACACCTCAGCCTCCCAAATCACCCAAGCCATTACCGTCGCCGCCAAAATCATCGTCTCCTTTAAGATCCTCTCCAAATAGGTCGGTCCCATTATTAAAGAATGTACCTTCTGGGGCTAAGCCTTTACCGTTGACACCAAAGCCAATGTTTCCCACGGCAAAGCCGCTACCTGAAATACCAACACTGAAGCCGCTGTTGCTAAAACAGACATCGTTGGAGTCAAATGGTCACTCGGTTCCTTCATTCGAAAGGTCAAACTCTGAGAGTAATGAGTATTACAATATTCATTTCAGACCAGCAGCAAAGAAGCTAACAAATCGGTTGTCTGAATCAACCTCTCCCACACATAACTATTCGCCTGTCCCTGTTGTAACTCATTAACACAACACAACATTTGTACTCCTTTCATTCTTGAATAAACATTGATAATATAAATGTAATTTCTAATGATAGCAATGAATAGTATTTCTGCTTTGTCTCTTCTATATATATATAATATCATTGAAAGGGATGTCTCCCTCCATGTATGTACACACTTAATGTCCATGCCATGATAATACATATTATTATAACAATTAATGATATTTTAAATCCAAGTCTTTTAAAAGTGTCGCTTAAATACCAGAGTAGCCAATGTCTCTTGCTTCTGGAGGCATGACTCAACAAGTTCCAGTTACTCTCAATGTCTGCTAGTGATGAAGACAGGCTCTCATCACCTCTTCTTCTTGCTAAGACCAAAGCAGTCTCTCCTCTATTGTTCCTAATAGAAGTCAATTTTAATACTTTTAATGAGGACATAAATTATACCATTAATTTAAATATCTAATGCATTTTTGCATAAATAATTAAGCATACTTAATGAAGGGATCAACTCCTTTGTGTAGGGTGAGATATTCAGCTATTGTGCAGTGAGTAACATAGTGTAATGGGGTATATCCTAGTCCATCTTGTACATCAAAACTAGCACCAAATGAGGACAATTCCTCTAGTAAGTCCATATTGCCATGCTTGACTGCAACATGTACAGGGAAAGTTCCATTTGCATCGCTAAAATTAGGATCTGCTCCTTTATCAAGTAGGTAAGAGGCGATTGGCAACCGCCCTTTTAATAAAGCACTGATTAATGGTGTAGTACCATTAGTTAGTGTGTTTAAAGAGTCTACTCCATTTATAGAGTCTAGGAGGAGTTGTATAGTGTCAATGGAGTTATTGTGATTGATGGCATAGAGAAGTAGAGATGGAGCTCTATCAGACAGAGCCTGGGGGGAGCAGAAAGGAAGCAAGATCTTAATGAGAGTAGCCATGCTTCTCTTGATTGCTATCTGCAGTGGACAAAGAGGTTGTCCTATTAAAGGATCAGCACCATTCTCTAGCAGTTGAGTGACTTGAGATGTGTCGACTCCTTTAGAAGCAGTAGATAAGAGCTCTACAAGAATTTCGGTCTGATCCGCCATTTTAAAAGGCGTGGTTTTGGGCGGGCCCAGTCTTTAGACCCCGCCCACAAGTTGGAGTCAAAGCAAAATGGCGACTGAGGTTGTTCGTCGAAACAGGCCAGGAACGAAGAAAGTCGACTTCTATAATTGGCCAGATCAGGATTTTAACGATATGGAGACAACACTAGCTGGTAACATTAACCTTATACTAAAATTATGCTAATGACTAGCGATAATTAACTTTTAATTGACAAAGTACATGTACATACATGTATACTTATATTATATTTATATATTTCTCCCAACAGTCCAACAATACATACAGCAACTGATCAGGAAAGACTACAAAGACGTTGAAGCGATCCTCGACCCTCCCCCTGTACAAGACGAGGCCTCGTGGAAATACGAACACCTTCGACAGTTTTGCAACGAGTTAAACTCGCTCACGGTCTGCCTACTGGAGGAATGTGACCCTCTCGTCTGCAAGCAAATGACTGCCACAGAGCAGTGGATATTTCTCTGTGCGGCTCACAGACAGCCCAAGGAATGCTCTGCACTTGATTACACGCTACATACTCTCCACGGGGCAGCCTCTCTTTTAAATTCCAACAAGCATTTCCCGTCTCGTGTTTCCATCAAAGAGAATTCGGCTCAGAAACTCAGCTCGGTCGCCCGGAGGATTTATCGCATATTCTCTCACGCTTATTGTCACCATCGGACGCTGTTTAACGATTTCGAGGAGAAGACGTATCTTTGTAAGAGGTTCACTCGCTATGTTATCAAGTACGACTTGATGACGACGGATAATTTGATAGTCCCACTTTCTGTTTTGGATCTCGAGGGGGAGAAAGAGGGAGAGAAAAAGGAGGAGGAAGGAGAAACGACCGAGGGACAGGGAGAGAGCAAAGCTGAGGAGGAGGAGGAGGGAGAGAAATCTCAGGAACAACCAGCAGAATCATCTCAATGATCATATAATTAACGATATTATTATTATTATTATTATTATTTCTCATCTTTTTCTTGGAAAATGCAACTAGTTTTATTTTATGTCCTCTCTTTTCAAAATATCTTTAGAAATGCATAAAACTAATTAATAATGACATTTAAACATATTTATGATGAAAACAGCCGCCATTTTGTGGGCGATATTTAGAACAATACATTACATGGCTGCATTTCAGGTATGTGGAACTGTAACTCTTGCCTCCCGTATTAATGCTAGCTTTGTTAATAGAATGGGGAAATGGAGGAAGAGGCTAAGATCTTGCAGGACAGATTTCTAAGCGAGTACGCAGGTAAGAGCTCGAAGAATTAGATTATTTTTTAAATCATTTTTATCTGGAAATGTATGCATCATTTCAGACAGTGATGAGGTGGATCAAAGGGATGTGAAGAGGGTTCGAAATTGTCTGCCGTACGTGGAAAAGTTTTTAATTCAAAAGTTGGGCGATGGAGAAGCAGCATATGAAATGCTAGTACGTACATGTACATGTACATTTAACTTGCTTTAAGTACATATACATACGCATACATTAACATTGCAACTTTATTTTGTATTATTTTTTAAAGGTTGGAGCTCTTAAATGGCGTAAAACCTTTGGAGTTCACGGTAAATTCCAAGAGAAGGACTTTATTGTAATAATATATTTATTTGTTTGTTTATTAGATTTAAAATACCAAGAGCTGGATCAGTCAATGCTCGATATTGGATTAGCATATAACCATGGAGAAGACAAGGAACAAAATACAATTGGTATACGTTTTGTAAATCAATACCCTCCTATCATTCTGTATTACTCTTCCATCCCTCCCCCTCTCTCTCTCCCTCTAGTAATCCTCAATTGTCATCTTCATAAAAAAGATCCAAAAAAGCTTCCCGACCTCCAAAAACTCTTTGTATTTGCTCTAGAATCTCACGTAAGACAGTACCTCATTCTCCCCCCCTCTCTCTCTAGTCTACCACACTCATTACAATTACTACTATTATCAGAATTCCTACTATTACTATTATTACTTTCTGTTTCAATATTACTTATCACAGGCTCGTAAATTTCCTAATAAAAAGGTCACACTTGTTTTCAACATGTCACAGTGTGGGCTGAGCAACATGGATATGGACTTTGTGAAAGTGATCATAAACTGTTTCAAGCTCTACTTTCCCAACATGCTGGGTAAGCAGTGATAATTATTCATTATTTACTTAGTAAGAAAAAAGCGTAGCATTAATGTGGTCAAGTTTTTATTTAATTGCCATATTTTGGGATTTTTCTAGTTATCTTATCCTTGTTGCAGCTGTTATGAAATTCACATTACTTGTTATTGTTTTTTATGTCCTTTCATTTTCAGGGTACATGCTAGTGTTTGAAATGCCATGGCTACTACAAGGTAATAATACTATTCTAGCTCTGTCTGTGTGTGTGTGTGTGTGAATGTCACATGATGTATTGTTTTTTTGTTTAGCTGCTTGGAAGATCATTAAGTCATGGCTGAGCGAAACAGCAGTTAGAAAAATAAAGTATGGTTACCTAAAAAATATACACGTATTATGTGCATCAGAAAACGTAGTGAAATGGAGAATTTTCTTCTAGCGATTTTTTTTGGATTTCACCATGTACTATAGTACAGGGAGGGACTTTTAACCGATTTTGGAGTAACTTTAAAAATTTGTAAAAAATCTAATTTTGATCGGAATTAGTTCAAACTTTCTACACAACATAAGTACATGTATATGCATCAGAAAATGTAATAAAAATGGAGAATTCTTTCCTTTTCATTTTTGGCAAAATTTTGCCCGAGACCATGTACTATAGTACAGGGACTTTTAACCAATTTTGGAGTAACTTTAAAAATTTGTAAAAAATCTAATTTTGATCGGAATCAGTTCAAACTTGCTACACAATGTAAGTACATGTATATGCATCAGAAAATGTAATAAAAATGGAGAATTCTTTCCTTTTCATTTTTGGCAAAATTTTGCCCGAGATCATGTACTATAGTACAGGGACTTTTAACCGATTTTGGAGTAACTTTTAAAATTTGTAAAAAATCTAATTTTGATCGGAATCAGTTCAAACTTGCTACACAACATAAGTACATGTATATGCATCAGAAAATGTAATAAAATTGAGGAATTTTCTACTTTTCAATTTTGGCAAAATTTGTCCAAAATCCCTGTACTATAGTACAGGGATGTTGACCCAATTTTTGAGTAACTTAAAAAATTTGTAACAAATCAAATCTTGATTAAAATTAACTAAAATAGCTATTTTATCTATTATGTTTTTTTAGATTTGTAACTAAATCAGACATCACTGATTACATTTCTCCTTCACAACTACTCACAATGTTTGGCGGGGTCGACGACTGGACATTTGATGCTCTAACTTTCAAGGAAGAACTCCGCAAAGAACACGACTCAATCTGGCTGAAAGACCCTCTCGGGGTATCCCCTGATGAAGGTATCGGAGCAGAAGAGGAGGAGGAAGAGGAGGACGGGGAAGGGGAGGAGCTTAAAGAGAGCGAGTCAGGACCCAGACAAGTAATTATTACTGTTGCTATTATTATTATAAATTATTATTTTAAAAAGTACGAGTATTATTTATTTACATGTAGAATGAAAAGATGTTAAAATTTAACCTTATATACATGTTTTACAGCTTAAATATAATTGCTATTATTGCTTAAAAATATCAGTTTAATCTGATTCTGATCTAACTTCCTCTGTTGGCTCTAGGAATAAGCTCATCTCCCACCTGTTATAACATTGGACATGTTTATTGTAACTTTAAGCAGTATTAAATTGCAGCATGTTTTGCCTAGCAGCTGTGTAAATATTTAATTCATAATATCCAATATTTATTGTCTGGCCTCCTCATCAAATAATGTCAGTGTTAATGTGGCAGACGGTCACTGACACACCTTTCATAAACTACATGTCTATGGGGCTTGTAAGCTCCTTGTACTCCATATTATAAGTGCTAGACATAGACATTAGTCTCCATGTGCATGTACACAATTTATGTCTAGACTACATGTAGGTGTAAATGTATTTATTATTCTTTTTTCTTAACCTAATGAAGCATAGTTCTGCCTATGGTGGTCAGGACAACCACCTCAACAAATGAACCAACCAGTTCATCACTTAGACCAACCATCCAATCAATACTAATAACCATACATAAAGCATGATATTGTAGTCTACTAGTATGGTGTACATAAATTTAAAAGGAACAATATTAGTCTCCAACCACCTCTAAGTTTTTTTTAGGCAGAGCATGTAAAGGATATTATTATTTAAAATATTCAAAATATCTATTTATCCCTAGGTTAGGTTTGCTTCTGGCCAGCCCCCCAGTCGTCAGAGCCGTTACGGCACTGATGAAGATGCAGAATACTATGGTCAGCGCTCAACGTCCTCACTGGAACCACATTTGCTGAGAGGAACTGCCTCCAGCCCTGGATATAGGAGGAGACAGGTCACAAAACTCATCAGCTCATCTCAACCGGTAAATGAATACATGTACATGTACATTGAGAGATTGAAGGGAATTACTTGTAAATTATTCTTGAAAGAATTTTTAATAATGTACATGTACATGTGTATATCAATTTATACAAGTATTCAATCAAGTCCTTTTTTCTTTTTTGACAGTCCCCGGAACATTCTTTGCCTCGTTCCACCAGTAGCATTGATTATGGAGATCTTCCTTCTTATAGAAAACCTCCTCCATCATACGTCCATATAAGGTAAGGGTGGGAGAGAGGGAGGGAGTGATTTGTTGTGTGTTCATTCCATGTTTAGTCCGTCGGAGGAGTTACATTTCTGTGGTCAGCCCGATAAAGATTTGTTCAGCACGCTTCAATTGAGCAACATCTCGGATCAACCGCTAGCTTATAAAGTAAAGAGAAAGAAAATAAAAATATAACAGTGTCCATATTTGTTCCGCCCACTCGTTAGATTAAAACGACGGCTCCCCAAAGATATAAAGTCCGTCCGAACCTTAACACAATAGATCCTCACTCTAAAGCGGCAGTTCAAGTCCAGCTGGTCAAAGGGACTGGATTGGATACGAAATCAATAACTCAAGACAAGTTTCTCATTCAGACCTACCAGTTTGATTCCGGGGCCACACCCCCTAGCACCTCCCAGTTGAGCCTCTTCTGGAAGGAACTGAGTTCATCCAGCGTCCAGGAGTACAGGTAAAAACATTTTCTATGCATAGAGTCTCATCTCTTACTTGTACTGAATATTTATGTAGTGATGTTGATTATTGTGTAGTTGAGGGGGTTATTGTGTAGTTGATGTGTACCAATTATGGTACTGGTGATGTTTTCACATGTTCAGTGACAAGCGTCATGTTGTTTGGTTGTGTGGTAACTAACCAAACAAACCAAGGGAGTATCTTGTTAAACCACTCCCGTAGTATAAATAATAATGAAATTATATTATTATTATTATTATTAAGTATAATATTATTATATCTCTTGGTGAAGGTTGTTATGTCGCTACTCTTTAAAGACAATAAAAGAGGAGGTCCCCACAAGTAAACCCTCGCCAACCCACTCCTCAAACCAAGAACAAATTAAAAAAGACATTTCGCCGATGGCAATTAGAAAGGTGGGTGGAGCTTATCGCCACGACGATTAATAATAATAATCAATTATTATATTTATAGTTGGATAGATTGTCAATTGAAATTAATGAATTGCGAAACACTTTGAATTATGTGAAGTATCTAGCAATGGTGACGTTGCTGCTAGTCCTTTTTACACTTGCTGTATTGCTGCTGAAATAATTTGAGAACTTCTTTTAGAAATTCTTCCTCTGTAAGATTTTGACTATATTATATGAATTATAAATATTATTAAAAATGGAAATTATTTTCTAATAGATCATAATTATTATTATTATTAATTACCTAAGAAACAGCAGTGCATTGTCGCTGCTTGGAGATTCACCATTAGATAATTGTCTGAGAAAATCACTTGCAATTTCTAATCATACACACACACATGAACAGTGCTTTAATGATGATATGAACTTTAATACCTTTTGTCATATTATGAACTGAATAATAAAGCTCACGTCCAAGCCTGCAATATTCTATTTAATAGAAGAAGAATATTTTACTTTTACTTTAATGCAGATCCACTTGCCTCTCATTGATACAGCTGTAGTGATCGATTCCTTGAACTGACTATAAGTGATGCAACATGGCTGCTGGTAGGGATATAGGGTATTTATTCTAAGTGACTCGTGAAGGAGTTTCATGTCAATCCTGCAGCAAAGAAAAATCTAACACAATTTGGAACTAAAATAGTGCTAAAAATTTAAAGCATTATAGCCACTCCTTCTGCATATTTGTAAAGAAACAATTGATTCTTAATAATACTTTGAAATGAACCGTGTAATAAATTCTTTGTAGATTTGATTTGATATCCCTCCGGCCAGACCATCATCTATATATCATAGCTGAATAGTTTAATGCAAAGGAAAATTAGTAACCTACAAGTGTCATCAGTTAAAATGGAATAAATTTCATACACTTGATCATTGAATGATCCAGTACAGAGACTAGTGTATTGTAGTGAAATGGCTGCATCAACAGCTTGTGACAATGGGGTGGACTGCAATGATAGACGTGTTAAACTGGAGCAAAAGAGATGCTTTGGAGCTAGTTTTGTTAAATTATTATTATTATTATTATTATTAAACAACTTTTACAGCACATACAAAATATACAAGGACATTGTAATGTATCCTTACTAGTTAGTGATGTGATTGAGTGGATCAGGTGGTCTAGACTCAAGGAGGTTAGATCTAAGCAGCAAGTCCTGCCAAAGCTCTTTGACACTTTCCTCCATTTTAGTAAACAGAAGAAGTTAAAAATGTAAGCAGGAGGTGCAGTGATTAATCTACTTCCTGTTGTGGCAAGATTAGATCTATGAGCTGCTGCAAAAAATCAAAATGCTTCATTCATCAATATTTTGGCACTTTTGCTTCCCAGTTGTTTGTGATTTGTTGTTTGTCTGTGACACACACTAAGTGATGAGCACTTCCCCACTTCCGTCAGTGCCAGTTGAGATACTGCACGACCTGGAGCCTTCACTCCAGGACCTCCTCAATCTATCAGTACTCGCCCAATCTTTTGAAGGCAGGCCTGTCCTTGCTCCTCTTGTTCCAGACATCAAGGAATCGACCACCTCTTCGACACAGCGTGTAGAATGCATAAAAAGGATAATAGAATATGTTACAAGGACAGGCAATCTAGCCATGACTGCATTTTTAGGTGCACTAAAATCAACTAGTGAGTCATGTGAAGGGCACCACAGAGCTTTAATGCTGTTTGAAGATGCATCTACTGACAAGCCATCAACAGAGCAAAGCGAGCTAATGAATATTTTGCAAGAGAATGCAAAAGAACTAGAGCAATTAGACATCATCCTCCTTCTTCCTAGTCTCCTCCAGAAAAGTGTCATAAATAATGACAACTACAGAGATCTTAAAGGAACGTACATGAGCCATAGCGAGAGAGCTAAGAAACTCCTCACATTTCTCCAGACTAGAGGAGCAGACGGGATTGTAGAGTTCTTGATGACATTGCAAACCAGTTCAGAAGAGAATCACAATAAGATTGGTGGAAGACTCATTAGCAAAGGTTTGCTGTAAATTGGTCATTATCTTATTTTGTCTGTTAAGCATTGTTGCTGATATTATAATTATTATCTCACTTTCAAAGCCAAAACTCTTCAATGTTTTTACAGACTCAGAGACTGTATTATTATACTGAGTTGTATGAACACTTATTCATGTTTTTTGTACAGTTCAAGATCTTGTCCAGAGCAAAAGAACTGGAGACATAGACAAGACTCTCCTGCTCAAGCTTGGGAAATTGGGAGTGAACATGTCAGCAGTGAGCAGATCACACTCATCATCTTCAGAAGAAGCACAAGCACCAGCAGGACCCCATGGTGAGATAGTAAGAGGGTGATAAATGGGTAATAAGTAGCTAATGATTCATTATGTTTTAAAAAGTTTTTATTTAATTTATGTAATATAATTATGCTGTGTTTAGTCGCAATTTAGCTCAGCATGTCACGTGGAATGCAGAATGCCTTTTCTGTCCATAAATGGACAGATTTATAGTTTATAGTTGTGCCTGTAAAGATAGATAAATACGATGCTGCTGTGTTTTGACAGCTATATCTCCATCCTTACCAATAGATAGGGTAGCTGTCCTGGTAAGAATGTCGGAATATTTCGAAATGAGTTCAAAGAGATCTCAGGAAGTCAAATTATCAAAGTAGGAGAGATCATTGAATGATAACTGCTGTGACAAACCCTCCCCTTTTTATAGTGATGAGTCCATTGTTAACTGGTTGAGAGAGCAGGATTATCATATCATTGATATTACTTTTGATCTAATCAACAAGTGTCAAAGTGGTGAGTATAAGGACTATCATCAAGTATTGATAGAGATCTTTGACAAAGTTAGTAGTTTATAAAAAACAGCAAATATATAAGATACATAATTTTATAATTCATAGGAAGTTGCTTCCTGTTGTCACCCAAAGACAATTATTATAGTCTACCTAACTGGGCTGGCTTATATGACCAAAGTAAGCTGGGAGTTTTCTTGGTTCTCCCTTAAAAGGATGCATGGTTCCTTCTTAGGCTTCTAAAAAAACTTGCCTGCTAATGGATAGATCACACTTTCTCAGCAGAAGCCAGGTTACATTCACATGCATGCACATGCATTAGAATCACATGCATCCACATGCCTTGTTCTAATAAGTCTTTCAGCAGATATGGTTGCAAATTGACTCACTGTGTTTGTGACATGCTGCTGAAAGAGATATTTATTATACCTTTACGGTAAGCTTTGCTGTACAGGTATGCTTCATACAGTCGGCATTGCTTTAATTAAGAGCTGGCTTAAAAACTTTCTTTTGCTATGCAGGATGATTGTATAACTGATTCACATATCAAGATAGGTCTAAAACAGCTCCCAACACCTTATGTTACCATTATTAGTGATACCCTCTGGAGCAAAGAAGAAAAAGAAGAGAAGGTACTAATACTTTAAAGACAATAATTAAAGATGCTTCTTTATTCCATTACAGGCCCCATGGGGGAATCTTTGCTCCTGGGACTCTAGGACTGTAGTGATAAGCTCTACTATTGAATATGAAGATCAAAAGTCAATTCCTATCGAGAGAGAGTTGATGAAATACTTAGAAAGCAGCCTGAGATCATGGAGTGATGACAGGTACTAGAGTCTACTCACAAGGAGAGAGTGCATATAAACTGTTCCTTTATATAGGGAATGTCCTAAGATCAGTCACTATCAGTTCTATCAATCGCTCGTTCATGGTTATAGAGACTCGGAAGATCTACCACTGACAATAGTGGTAGGTGTGATAATGGAATGATATCATTATGTGGTGTTTTTCTCTCATAGGGTGATGTTGATCGTATCCTGTTTGGATATTACAACTATCCTTATCCTCTTTTCCTTTTTGGTCGCCTTTTAAGGGAAGAGGGAAAGATTGAGTGTGGGTGTGGTTATTACGTAATGGGGCTCGAGCCGGAGCAAGAGGTGACAGTGAGTCTACCCACTCAACCCGAGGGTATCCATAAGGCAGTCGTACATGAAGTGACCGATAATACTTGCATAGTCAAGTACAACGTGGTTACTAACATTCCAGTAAGAGATAGCATAAATAATTATTAATTTTAAATTATGTTTTTTATCAGACTGATGTAGTGCATCTTTTTGTAACAGTCCCGGACCGGGAAAAGATTTTAATATCAACTGACATAAATGACAGAATGAAAGGCAAGTCATTATTATTATTATTATTATTATTATTATTATTATTATTATTATTATTATTATAAATAATAATAATATATTTTTATTTCAACAGATGACATACTTGTTAGTTATTTGAATCAGTCATCACGTCTTGATCACACAAAGTAAGCTCTTCTTAATATCTCAATTCTAAGTAATGTTTTTGCCAATATTGTTTGCACATATCACGTCTTGATCACACAAAGTAAGCTCTTCTTAATATCTCAATTCTAAGTAATGTTTATGCCAATATTGTTTACGCATTGAACTGATTGAACCATACATAAACATCCTTGCACTTTCCTCTTTTAAAGTACAGCAAGCGATGACCTCAGAAAATACAATTTTAAGCAAACTATAGTTGCATATACTTATCATGTCTCTTATGCACTTTTCTTTAGGGCAACTGGTCAACTAAAAGTTAAACAAGTTTTTGAAGAGTTTGAGATAACAGATCAAACTGATTCGCTTCAGTCACCTAAAGTAATAGTATCCTCTATTGAGCTAGTGAAAAGTTTACTGGGTAAAGGAGTAAATTTATAATGAATTATTTATTTAATGAATTATTATTAATGTAGAAAGGATTGGGCATTATCTGCTGGTAAGGAATTGGAAGAACGTCGTTCAAAGGTCAAGAAAAAATCACAAATGTTTTTTAAATAACTTTAAAACAGGTTAGCATTAGAAAAAAAGATGGATTAAAATAAAGATGAATTGAAATATTCCATTTCTTTGTACTCATAGTACAATTAGATCCAAGAGGATTTCAAGTTTCAAGCAATAGTGAGATACCAAATAGTCCAGCTGAATATGCTCTTCATGATGATGACAAGTACTGGAAACCTGCTTCATTACCTGCTGAATTGAGAATAGAAATAAAGAAATCATACTACGTTACTGCAGTTGAGTTGACAAGTATGTTATAGTTTGCTTTATAGTGTATAGTACTATGCAAGATAAGGTTTATCTGTTGCACAATAAAAATATTTATTTTTCTTTTAGCTACTCCACAAATGGCACCTAATGCTTCTAGATTACCTCGTGTTGAGATGAGCTACACGAACAAGATCCCTCTTGTAAAGTCCCGATATGAGGGTCCTTCAGTATCTCATAAAACACTGATGATCCCTTTGATTAGTATCGATGATTGCAAGCAACGTCAAGATCACTCCACTTTCTCGGTTATTAAAATATCTCCGCTTAAACTTGATCAGTCGGTTGACAGAGGAATGTTTGTGTTTAATCTTGTCATTGCAAGCACTGATAATGAAGGTTAGAGTTTTTATGATTTCTTTAGAATCAAATTTTGGCATACATGTATTTTCAAATGGCCATAACTTGAAAAATTGAAGTCGGAATTGGCTCAAACTTTCTACATAGCATAAGGACATCAATATGTATCAGAAAATGTAATAAAAATTGGGGGTGAATTCGGAGCCATTTTTTGGAGAAAACCATGGGCTATAGTACAGGGAACTTTTCAGATTTTGGCCCATTTTTCAAAAGGCCATAACTTGAAAAATTGAAGTTGGAATCGGCTCAAACTTTCTACACAGCATAAGTACATCAATATACCATTTTGCTAATCCACATGCTATGCTATTTTTGTTAATTTACTATTTTATAGTTAACTATGTTCAAGATTATACAATCCTTGATCCAATGCCATCGATACAATGTATACCAGTTCCTAATGCTGATCAGCAAGTGAAACTGGAGAATAATGGAGAGCCTCTTATTGTATCATTCACTAATACTTATGACTCAATACTACTAGCAATAGATGGTAATGCTCCAGTCACATGTAGCCAACTGATGGTCTATTATCCTGAGAATGGTAATTTCAGTGACTTCAATAAACTGCATGATATTATTTTTATTCTTCAGGTAAACCCATTGAGCTGTTTGACATAGAATTAATACAACAAAGTTTTAGTAGAAGCAAAGAACTTCTCAATGCTTTTCATCCTGCTAGTGGAATATCCAGAACTGACCTGAAATCTCCAAAGATTCTTCATGAACTCATCCTTCATATCAATGAGAGGTATCCTTTGCAGGTGCACTTGTATGGTAGCAGCATGAGTGAGACAATGGTAGGAAAAGTGGATTCTAATTTAGAACTTAGTTTAAATAATGAGTCACCTCAAGTGCTTTTTGTGACAGTAATGTGCATTGAAAAAACCGGTAAGGATTACCATAAGTGTATTTACTTTGTATAATACTGTGTTGCACTTTAATTTCGCAGAGTTTTATGGCAATTTGCAAGCAAAATCACGCATATTAAAATGCCAATGCATGCTCAGAGATGCACATGTACACAAAAATTACCAAATTAAAAACCGCCAGTTACAATTTTTACAGCAAAACCACCAAAATAAAGCCCTGCTGTAATAAAGCGCTATAGTGGTACTAACATCACTGATATTCTTTTATAATCCATGCAGGTAAAATAGACTGCATAGTGTCACAAAAAGACATAGCACCAATGAGTATATCAAAAGATACTTTCATAAACTTATCGCTACCCGAAGGAGAGAGCTCCACTGTTGATACATACAGGGTCTTTGTTAGCTGCTCTCCATTACAACTGGACTCACTGCAGCAGTTGAATGTAATGGACTACTTCTCAAGTCACAAGTATAAACCACCCAATCTAAAGAATCTCATTTTACAGGTCAGTAATTGTGTGGAGCAGTAATAATATAGTCCATGGTTTTATAAAAACTGGCTCAAAAACACTCAAAATTAAAGTATTTTGTCCAGTGGAAAAGTTGCTGATTAACTTTATGGCTTTCAAAAAATAATTAACTTAGGAGATGCCTTCATTTTAAAATAAATGCATGCATTGAATTATAAATTTTTGGTAGCCTTTGTGAATATTTCTATCCCTCTTCATTTCTGCAGGAAAAAGACGAAGAATGGTACTGCTATCAATACACAGTCCGAGTTATTAAATAATAGTTAACTGACCTTTGATCACATGTATAACTAGTTATATTATACCGGTAACTAGTTAAATTCTTCTACGAAGAAAATAATTAATGCAATTATAATTATTGAGGAGAGAATGGTTTGGGTGGACAATAATATAACAAAAGCATTGCATAGATTAGAGAGAGATAGAGAAAGTGTGTTCAACAATTAAAAAGTGAGAACGACAAAGAATTGTGTAAGACAGGCAGGCCCTGTCAAGAGTGTAATGTGGTTAATAGTGTTGGTCCAATTTTAATGAATTTGGGTACTGAGCAGGATCTAAACAACACAAACAAACAAATAACATTAAAATCCTCAAGAGAAAAGCAGCACAAATATTAAACAATATATAGCAGAATTATAAATAGGTATAAATATCACAGCTATTTTTGTTATTTAAATTAAAATTCAAAAGTAAATTATCATTAAAATTAGAAGCAGTATATCATAATAATACCGGTAGAACTTCAAAATAGCCGAAAATCTACTAATTTTGTACAATAATTGTACAACTCACTTGGTTATAAGTGCTAAAAGCATTTCATGACATTTCGATGAGAAATATGCCTTTTTAGACAAGTATTCCACCGTCACTAGTAGTGGACCATCAACTGATTCAAATGGCTTAAATTTCTTGTCTTCATGCTATAAAATGGGAGGGGCTTATTTATAAGCCACGCCTACAATCACATACCTTGATTAATCCGACTAAACTGAGGAAGATATTAAGAAAACTTAACATGTTTTCTTCTCCTTGACTGAGGAATGGCTCGCAGCATTTATCTAGAAAAGGAAATGTTAATTTTCAGATAACTTCCAAGAGGAAGCACTGACCTATAAATTCATGTACTGCTGCTCTGTGATCAGAAGGAACTCCTCCTTCACTAGTTGATTGGTAACCAATTGCAACCTTTAAGAACAAAAAGGAATGAAAAAATAGTAGTGGTAGCTAGCATAAGAAATTATGGACAAATAAAAAATGTGTAAATAGCTATAAAAATCACATGAAGTATAATAAAATGTTGAGATTTACTTTGGTATATGTTTCAGCTAATTTTTCAGCAGCTGGGTTTTCCTGTAAAAATAAATAAATAATAATAATGATAATGATAATGTGAATAATGACGTACAGTTAGATAATCTTGTAATAATGATATTCTGTTGTTTAGGCCAAGGTAGTATTGAACTGAAGGTGATTCTAACCATTCGTCTAATGTAACCTAAATAAAATAATAAATAAATAAATAAAATAAATAAATAAATAAATAAATAAAATAAATAAATAAATAAATAAATAAATAAATAAATAAATAAATAAATAAATAATAGATAAGTAATAAGAAATAAATAATAAATAAATAAATAATTAATTAATGAATACAGCACATGTACAACACAGTGCTTTAAACTTGACCTTTCTATTGTAATGACTGTAATACATTACAATAATAATAATAATTATAAAAAAGTAATAATAAGATAATCTCACACTAACAGTTTTAGTAATGGCTTCCTCTTTGACGCTATCGTCCAGTAGCCCATTCTCCTCTTCCTCCTCCTCTTTGTTGCTCTCTCCATCTTCATCCTCTGTCTCTTCTCCTTCATCATCGCTCAATGACTGAAGTGCCTGCTCCAGTCCAGCAGCTTCCATCATCTCTTGAATCCTCTCAACTCCTTCCTCTCCAAATGCGTTGCCTAGCAACAATAGCGTCATTACCGTGGCAACAGGTTCCTCGCACTTACCGTTTAAGTCGAGTACGGCGAGTTGGGATTTGTTTGAAAGGGCGGAGACAATGGCAGCTCCTGAATTAATGTCTAGCTCATTATAGCTTAGCCATAACTCCTAAATAAGAACAAATTTATAATGGCCATAACTCGAAAAATTGAAGTCGGAATTGACTCAAACTTTCTACATAGCATAAGTACATCAATATGTATCAGAAAATGTAATAAAAATTGGGGGTCATTTTGGAGCCATTTTTTGGAAAAAAACCATGGGCTATAGTACAGGGAACTTTTCAGATTTTGGCCAATTTTATAAAATGGCCATAACTCGAAAAATTGAAGTCGGAATTGACTCAAACTTTCTACATAGCATAAGGACATTAATATGTATCAAAAAATGTAATAAAAATTGGGGGTAATTTTGGAGCCATTTTTCGGGAAAAACCATGGGCTATAGTACAGGGAACTTTTTAGATTTTGGCCAATTTTATAAAATGGCCATAACTCAAAAAATTGAAGTCGGAATCGGCTCAAACTTTCTACATAGCATAAGTACATCAATATGTATCAAAAAATGTAATAAAAATTGGGGGTCATTTCGGAGCCATTTTTCGGAAAAAACCATGGGCTATAGTACAGGGATTTTTTCAGATTTTGGCCATTTCTTCAAATGGCTGTAACTCAAAAAATTGAAGTCGGAATCGATTCAAACTTGCTACACAGCATAAGGACATCAATATGTATCAGAAAATGTAATAAAAATTGGGGGTGATTTCGGAGCCATTTTTCGGAAAAAACCATGGGCTATAGTACAGGGATTTTTTCAGATTTTGGTCCATTTCTTGAAATGACTGTAACTCAAAAAATTGAAGTCGGAATCAATTCAAACTTGCTACACAGCATAAGGACATCAATATGTATCAGAAAATGTAATAAAAATTGGGGGTGATTTTGGAGCCATTTTTCGAAAAAAACCATGGGCTATAGTACAGGGATTTTTTTGAAAATTGGCCAAATTTTTAAAATGGCCGTAACTCAAAAAATTGAAGTCAGAATCAACTCAAACTTTCTACACAGCATAAGTACATCAATATGCATCAGAAAATGTAATAAAAATTGCAAAAACAAAAAAGACAAATATAACATGACCTACTCTTAGCATTTGGTGTCCATCCTTAACAGCTTCAGCAATGGCGACTGCACCTTTTGAACGAACAAGACACTCGCCAAAATTAATGACCTCGAGCTCCTGAAGAGAAGGAATGACATCAGCCATTAATGCAGAGCCGTCTTCAGTGAAGGTATTATCGCTAAGATTAAGAACCTAGAAAACAAGAGAGAAAGTATACTAATAATATACTGAGATATACTGGAGTACCCTGAGATGTGGGTTCTTTTTAAGTGCTCTTGCTAATGCGCTGATTCCGTCGCAGTAGATACCATTCTGTGGCATTGAGAGTTCGACGAGAGACCCCAGCGTCTATTAATCATGTGACAATCATGTGATAGTTTCTGATGTGGGGGCGTACCTCAAAAACTTCAGCAAGAGCTCTTGCTCCATCATTCTCGAGCCTGTTCCGCCCACTCTGAAAAACCTCCAGTGCAAACTTAGCACCAACTTCGCTTGCCTCCTGGTAACACTGTAATAGCGCCTTGGAAAGTATCTACGTAATATAATAGACCAAAAATAAATTTAAATTTTTAAAATTAAATAAAAAGGTGCTACCTTTCCTCCTCCTATTCCAAGGCCATTATTATTAAATTTCAATATCTTGAGGGTGTAACAAACTTCACTCGTTAACAGCGTAGACACGCCCTCCACTCCGGCAGGACCAAACGCATTGTCGCTCAGATCAAGCTCGACAAGACGTGCCCCGGCAACGATCAGGCCGTTCCCTAGCGATGACTAATTAACGATAAAAGGTGTTAAATGTTTTACATGTCTGGGCCGGCTTACTAGAGCTGGTGGTATTTCTGTTTTAAGACGACTGACAAACATGTCGCTCCACAGTGCATGTCTCAAACTACCTCCTACGTTTTCTAGTAGCTTGCCAATGGCAGAGGCGGCCTCTGTGCCGTAGGAGTTACCACTGAGTTTTAAAGAAGTTATACCGGCTGCATCTCTGATCTGATGAAGTATTTCTCCAACTAGCAAATAAATATATATCTATTGCTCCTATAGTGAGCTTTGTTACCATCTTCCTCGCTGTCTATCTTCTTGTTTTCTCCATTCACTACCACCTCCACTGACTTGCTCTCGTCCGCCATGTTTTTTCAAATCCGCGCGAGCCAGCCCACTGCGCATGCGCAATGGCACGGCCCAGGAACTTTTTCAAGTCTGGCGCGCCCGTCCCGACTGCGCACGCGCAGTACACTCCCGGGTAATCATCCTACAACCTACATCATCATCTTTTCTAGTGTTTTCTTCTCCTCCTCCTCCTCCTATCATCAAAATTCCCTGCCACCACTCAGCTACCCGTGGCAAGAGACAAGAGAGAGAGACACCACCCATCCATAAAGCTTCTTTCCTCGACACTTATCTCTTCTTGTAAATCCAGCAAACTTTGCAGAGTCCTCAAAATGTCCTCCAAACCGAGTGGGCATTATTTGGAGAGCAGCAGAAAGAGAGGCAGCCAGCAGTCACAGAGAGCGCCACAGCCGTCCTACAGAGGAACACAGCCCGCCCAGCATAGCCCCCCGTACTATAGGAGACACACATATGCTATAGACCAGTACCTCTATGAGAAAGGACTCAAGAGAAAGTACATAGCTAAAGATGGCTCCTGTCTCTTTAGAGCTGTCTCAGAACAGGTTCGTAGCTATCAGTCAAAGTCCCTTACCCTCTCTTGCTCTTTCTCTGCCATTAGGTCTGGCTGGTACAAGCTCACCATTGGACTCTGAGGAGACAGACTGCTATGTATATCAAGACAAGAAAGGATCGTTTTAAATCGGTAAGATAACATTTTAAGCCAATTTAAGGTTCATTACAAGTTGTTTTAAAAGCAGTTATAGATCTTCTACTTTATTTCTGTCACCTTTTCTAGTTCTTGACAGAGCCTGTCGATAAATATTGCTTCAGACTTAGCAACTCTTCGGTAAGAAACTTAACGATATGGACCTTCTTTGTCATTTTGTTTATTATTTTATTCCTCTCTTCTCTTCCTCTAAACTATTTATATACCATTATTTATATTTAATGATGGTTTTCTTTCTTTTTCTCTCTTCCTTTTCTCCCCTCCCTCCCTCCCTTGCTAGATGTGGGGTGGTGAGATGGAGCTTGTAGCTCTCTCCGAACTTCTCGATCGTCACATCATCGTCTACTCTGAAGAGAAAGGACAGACTAAAATCCGGGAATTCAATCATTCCGAATCTTCTGATAAAAACTCGGTAAATAAACATTTATTATTCTATAATATTCTTGCCATGCACTGTATAGACACATGTGTTCATGTGTCTATTTATACATGTACATATTAAAGGAGTTTAATTGATTGTTTTAATTGAATTACTTATCCATATTGCAGCTGCCTTTGTCCAGCTCTCTCCTCTAATGTTGCTGGCTTCATTCTTTGAGGCAAATTCTTTGAAGGGGGATTCCCTTTATTATTATTATATCTAGCCACAAGTTGTGGGGACATGTGCTGGACATGTACATGTATTTTACACATGTACATGGCACTGTATGCTCTCTCTCTCTCTCTTTCTCTCTCATAGATTAAACTAGCTTATACTGGTTCTAATCATTACGATGGAGTCTGGGCTGAGACTGATGAGAGACTATATGGATTTTGTCAAAGTAAAAACTGAAAAAAATTATTATTATTATTATCATCATCACAGGTCTTGTATATGATGTCTTGTACAGTGCGGTATTCAAGAACTCTTCTTTGGTATCAAAATCCCGTCAGTTGTCTCTTGGCCAGACGATGACTCCAAGTTATGGTCCTCCGGATCTTTTGAAGGCTTTATCGATGTACGTGTTCTCAAATATCCCAATAGAACACGCAAGAATGGAGAGGAATGGTAAGTAGAATATGTAAAAAGGTATAAAAGGTTTTAGTTGAATAGTTTAGTAAATCAATGAATAATTTGTAATTTAATTTATGGCCCCTCCCTAAATTTGCTAAAATTGGTACACATGTAATAGAAATTGAATGCCTTTTAGTTTTAATTGAAATTGAGAATCGAAACGAAAGATCAATGTAATATCTTTGGTTATGCAGCTGTGTGGCACCTGTTCTTATTGTTATTCCCCTCCTTCATTGCTTTAGATCGAGAGTATCGCGACAGGCAGTTTGCAAGTTCTCTTCAATACAAAGTCGGAACTATATGTGACGTAAGCTACTATATTAACAGCTGCTATTACATATACTGTCACTATTACTATTATTGTTATTATTATTTTGTGTCCATTGAAGGTGTCTGTTGATAATGATTTGTTTCGTGCTGAAATCATTGACAACCGTGACTACTCCAGAATAAAAGTAAGAGCTAGTGTATCTGATTCTGCACTTCTACAAAATTGGGCCAAAAACCATGTACTGTACTATATTCATGTAGTGCGGGGTATCTCTTCAACAATTGCTAGGAGACAATTCTCCCATTTTTTATAATTTCTTCTTGATGTATATATGTACATGTGCTTTGCATTTCAATAAATACACGTGTGCAATTTGTTGTCTTTTTTTTCTCTTTAGGTGAAATTTATTGATAATGGAAGAAAGTAAGTTGGTCATACATTGTTGTATGTATCAACTTTTTATTATTTTGACATTGCCTTAGGCCAATGATAGTGTCAGCTAAGCAAATCTTTTTTGGTCACAGCAAGAAAAGCACAGGCAAGCAATAATAATAATAATAATAATAATAATAATAATAACAACAATTTTTTTGTAGGAGGGAGGGATCAAAGGAGAGGGTACTCTGGTTCAAGGGTCCAATCCGAGGGTAGTACCTCAAGGAGGGAAGAACCTAAAAACGAGAGACCTCCCCGGGAGACAAAGGACTTTGAGAGAGACCGAAAGTCAAGACAGTCGAAACCGAACAATGAAAGTAGTGGCCCAGCTCCAGAGAAGAGAGAAACAAGGGGGGGAAGTGGCGGGGGTAAGGGTGAGGGGAGAATGACCTCGCCAAAACCTCCTAACCCCAAGATAAGCGATCGGAGACAACCAGTGAATCATTCTAAGGAAAGAGGAGAGAGAGAAGGGCTCAGACAAAGAGACAAGAAAGAAGTGGATAGAGGAGCAAAAGGAAGCGGTGATAATAGAAGAGATGCTGTTAAAGAAAGAGCTTCTACTCGCGGGGAAACTGTTACGAAAACTAACGAAGGGATCTCGAAAGAAAAGCCGTCTAATAAGAGACCGGGGGAAGGAAAAGGAGGCGTGGCCCGGGAGGAAAAGGGAAAGGGAAGCAACGAGAAAGAGGAGAGAGTTCCAAACTCGGAAAGCGAGAAAGTGCTGCAAAGTGAGACTAAACCGTCTCAGAACGGAAACACGTCAAGAACCGACGACCCAAAGGAAACTACCACTTCTTCTCACCCTGAGCAATATCAACAGAGACAGAGTCCGATTGAACAAGCCCCACCCACAGCAATCCCTCCTCTTTTACCACCAGGGATCACCAAAGTGGACGAACCACACCCACCAATTAACATAGAGCAGCGAGGTCTGATATACCAAATGGCCCATGGAGATGGTAATACTTATTACATACACTCAACTGGCATTGCTCCAGAAGCAGCTGCAGCAGGTGGAGGGTACCTCTACCCGGTGGACGTCTTCTCGTCGACTAGTAACAATCATATACTAGTAACATCTGGTGCTTCTAGTCTCCACCCACAGCCACACCCCCAACCTTATTTCTCCGAAGCCCCAGAGTGCGAGTGGCCTATACTAGTACAGGATAGCCGTAGTTCTGCTAGTAGTAACTCCAAGGTTGTGGCGGTCGACCAGTTGCATCCAAAGTCCCTCCACATTGACGGTCCACCTCCACAGCCTCCGCCTGAGACTATGTTTGCCGTCCCGCCTACACATCAGAATGTGGGCGTGGTCCAGACGTCACCTCACGTGGCGACAACTCAAAACATCTTCTCAACTGATCTAGCTCCTCCTCTTCATCTGCTACACAACAGAACGCAAGGTAAGATTATAGTGTATGTGTAGATGTCCTTCTGTTATAAGGATAAGGATCAGGATTAGGATATAGAGGGTGGGGAGAGTAGGAGATTCTGTGAAAGTCAATAATATTCACTCACTACAGTTTCCATTAGACTTTACTACTGTAGTACCTGTTCATTCATCAGTGTAGTAGTATCTATACATCCACACACTCATGTTGTTATTATTACTATAATCTCAAAGTAGTACTCTCTCTCAGTTTTTCATGCCCATAATGTAATGAATATACATGTACATGTACGTGTGCAGTAAATGTGCTTTCATTGTGTTCTTTGCATGTGTCAGGTCAGGTAATACCACGTCTGCTATTAATTTTTGCTGCATGTTTGTTTGTGTTTTAGTTCCTTTTTGTAGTATTAATTTGGATAGTATGAGCTTATACAGGCCAATACAATTATAAAACATGCATGCAATCAAATTTGCACAATTGCTCCAAAATCCGGTAAAACCCCCTGTACTGTAGTACAGGGTCTTGGGCTGAATTTTGTGAAAATTGAAAAGAGAGGATTCTCCATTTTTATAATACATGTACATGTATTGTGTGATTAAAAATAATATTTATTATTATTTAATTTTTATAGAGGACAAGCAGGTCTTCATGTTTGAATATGCCCAGCAGTGTCTCAGCTGCTATTTCAACTCTGCCATTGGAGACCAGTCCGACCTTGAAGACCTGATCGAGGAGCTTCTCGCAATGTCACTGGAAGAGTTCCTTTCCTCTCCTCCTCGCTATTCTGACGGAGAACTCTCAACCACTAGTCCTGATAATAGTGAGCTGACAGACGAGAGAGAGGTAACTCCACTTAGACTTGTCCTGAAAACCGAAGAGACCGTTTCGCCGTCTAGTACGTCCGATGACCAGCTTCCGCCGCCACCTCGTGAGCCTACGCCGGTCGGAGAAGAGACAACGGAGGAGACAGTGGTTAATGGTAAAGAGGCTGAGACTAACGGTGATGGTGAGATTGTGAAGGAGGAGGAGGAGGAGGGAGAGGGAGAAGAAGGACAGGAAGTAGAAGAGGTGGAGGATGAGGGTATGAAGACATATATGTCACTGCCTCATCCTGGTGCTAGCCCTTTCATGATGCCATATCAGCCGTTCATACCAATGATGTATTCAATGGGTCCTCAATTCTTTGGGTATCATCATCCTTATCGTATGCCAGCTCCCATGATGTTTCCTCCTCCTTACTTTATGCACCCACCTCCTCATATTGTTCCTCCTGAACCTCAAGAAGAGATCAATAATGATCTTACTGATGATGGGGACACGCCTCTTTCTCAGCCCGAGTTTAAGGCCACGCCTCCAGAGTCTAAACCGGCGGCCGTGGATGTGAGTGAAGTCCCTGTTGTAGCAAAGGAAAAGTCGTCGTCTCCATCTCCTCGTCCCTCTCCTTCTCCTCCTCCCCCGGTCGCTAGGCAACCGGATAAACAGGTCCAACCCCCTCGTCAGCGTAATAATAATAATACTCACGAAACTCGTCACCGTAGCAACCAGGACTCTCGTAGCCATAGCAACCACGATTCCTATCACCGTGGTAACCATGAGCGTACGTCGAAAGGCCAAAAGAGTAATAGATCTTACGAGGCTCGTTATAGCAGGAATTTTACGAATCGGAGCCATCAGAATCAGGCGAAACAATGATTGAGAATCAGATTGTGAACTTGCATACACACGTACTATCATACATGTACATATACATACATTCTGATCAGTTTATTCATTAATTATTACTACCTTGCCTTGTGTTGGTTTTGTCTTGTTTGTGGTGTATAATTATTCTATTAAACAACAACAACAACAACATGCATTTATTATATTATCCACTATTAAAAGTTATTTATAATAATTATTATTATTATTAATGTGAAATGACATGTGAATAGATATCAGTATTCATTTCTGAAACATTAAAAATCAGCAAAAAAGTCCAATATTGATATTCACATCTTTTAGTCATTTTTCGTGAACTGACTCTACCATACTTCCATTTTGATTAATCTTTTTAATTTAAAAATACAACTAAGATTAAGGCTATAATTTGCTAGTGGTGTTCTTAGAGGTTTCATTCTGCAAAGTCTTTTTTAATTGAGCCACTGCAGCTGGTATGTCTTTAACTAGTATCATTCTCATTCCTAACTCTCTGGCAGTCTTCAGATTCATTCCAAGATCATCAAGAAACACAACCTACAGAAGAGAGATTATCATATGCAATAGAAATTAGAGATAGTAGCATACCGTATAATGCTTTATTTTGGCGATTTTGCTGTAAAATTGTAATTGGCGATTTTTAATTTGGCGATTTTTGTGTACACATGCATTACTGAGCATGTACATTAATGATTGGTGGTTTTAATATTGGCGATTCTGCTTGCAAACTGCCAATCGCCAAAATAAAACTCCGCCAAATTAAAGCGTTATACGGTATGATAAATATTTTTTTAATGGATCACTTCGTTTGGTTTTAGTCCTAGCTCACGACAAGCCAGCAAGTAAATGTCCTTGTCTGGTTTTCTGATTCCAACCCGACAGGATTGTATGGTGGCATCTACAAATGGTGATATCTCTCTTAATAGTGGATGATCAGGATCTGGGTTTATGTCATCAATCCAATTATTAGTAACAACTCCTACTTTAAGACCTGCAAAGATATTACCATTATTATTATTATTATTATTATTATTATTATTATTATTATTATTATTATTATTATTATTATTATTATTATTATTATTATTATTATTATTATTATTATTATTATTATTATTATTATTATTATTATTATTACCATTATTATTATTATTATTATTATTATTATTATTATTATTATTATTATTATTATTATTATTATTATTATTATTATTTGTGATGTTAAGTATCAACTTGCCTGATGTCTTGATGCTTTTCAACAGTTTGATCATTTCCTGGTTCACTTTGGTTCTGTTACCTGTAAAACGTCTGAACAGTTCTGCTGCAGAGAACTCTCCTGGTAAGTCCCTGTCTAAACGGCTCTTGATCAGTTCTTGACACTCTGCTTCAAACTCTCTACAAAACTGAAGAGATTTTCCATTGAATACAGCATATAAAATATTATAAAAGAAGTGATTTTCATTAAGTATTGGTTGTTCCATGGTGCTAACTTGTCTGAGTTTTATCTCTCCTCTCTCCAGTCTACAGAAAGCGTTATTAGGGGAGCCATAGATAAAGGCAAGAGTGAGGGCACCTCTAGTTACATGTGAAAAGAGTAAAGAAATAGAATCTAATCTTGTAGAATTAACAACAGTAGTAGTCTCGCCCCGCCCCTTCGCTAGCAAAGGGGCGTGGCGAGACTACAACAGTAGCTTATCTCACTTTGGCAGGTTTAATTCTGATTCGTATTCTTGTATATGCACCACGGGAGATGATATAAGGACTCCTCCAACATCAAAAATAACTCCTTTTATGTTATTAACTATAGGAGTCTCCATTGCAAAAAGTGAGCCACACCTTTAAATTAGCCACGCCTTTCAATTCGAATTGCCACGTGATAGCATGTGGGTAATGAAATGATGAACAAAATTGATGGTGAAATATTATTATATCGATTAAATTGTCTGCTAATTGATATTTTCTAGTTATTTCAAACTTCTGAGCCACTCTTTCCAGCAGAATTCAGGAAATATCAAATTAATTTCTTTCATAGCATTTTCAACACTGTCAGATCCATGTACGCTATTTTGAGTATCACAGAGTCCAAATCTTCCTCTGATGCTAGCAGGAGAGTCTCTCTTAGCTCTGATAACAGTGAAAAGCATTCATCTAGCACTAATAATGCTTACATGCATGGTTTAGTGGGTCCCATTAGTCTCCTCCATCTTTTAATTGCATCTTCTCCTCCTAATATGACACCATTGATATCACTGGACTGCATGTAAGTAGTCAATCTCTCAAAATAGAATCTTCCTAAAGCAAAAAGGAAGAAAAAACATCTAAGACTATCCAGTGAAAATTTACACTGCATGCATCACCTAACAAATGTATCTATTTATTATTATTATTATTATTATTATTATTATTATTATTATTATTGTTATTGCAATTTTATAGGACTAGATATGAGAAGGAGAAACAGATAGTAGTAGAGGTCCAGTAGAAGGGAGTAGTCCTAAAGGAATGACAGGGTGTAGCCCTGCCATCCAGTACATAAATACAGAAAAGAAAAGGAAAAGGAGTCAAGAGGAGGAGAGAAAAGAGGATGGGAGAGATATACATAAACAATTAGAGCATGGACAGACTGTGTGTAGAGTGTGTGAATCAGAAGAATTAAAAACATTTGTAAATTTGTCAATAAAATGGGATGTAATTAGTTCCTTAAAACTTGGGATAGACATATTTAGGATACTGTATTAGTATACTTACCATTGTGTTCTTCATAGAATTTTTCAGCTTCTTTAAGGCTCAGTCTTAAAGTTTTTCTGCAAACAATCGAGAGTCCTTCCTTCTCTATCATTCTACACACAAGCTGTACAGAAAATAGTAGATACAATAAAATTAAATCTACTAATTATTCTATAATTTTAAATACATTTAAAGAGACTGGCCTAGCAACTAAGTCTGGCTTGAATATTGCTAAAGTCACTTGATAGTTGCACATTTTAGGAGTGGGTGTGGCACCAAAATTAATAACTAGAAACTTTATAACTACTCTGAGCATGCGTGGTTGGTCTCCTTTCACGTGGTTCTGTCAAGGACAAGAGAACCAAGATGGCTACCAAAGGTTATCGACGTGGTACTAGGCACCTTTTCTCCCGCCGTTTTAGGAAGAAGGGTAACTTAAGCCACTTATTTTTTAACTTTATAAATATTTTTATTTGACAGGAATGATAAAGCTGTCGACCTACATGAAAATTTATAAAGTTGGTGACTATGTCGACATAAAGGTACTATTATATATATATATATACACAAAAAGTGCATTCATTTTATTAATATTTTTGTATTTTTTTGTTCTCTGTGTTAGGTGAATGGTGCAGTACATAAAGGTATGCCGTACAAATTCTATCACGGTAGAACAGGAAGAGTATTCAACATTAGCAAAAGAGCTGTTGGAGTAGAAGTGTCGAAACAAGTCCGGTAAATATCCCAACGATAATATTGTGCGGCTTTAAACTTGGTTTAATTAAATTTCACGAAATGAAACTCTTTTTTTTGTCAAAATTTTAATCATTTTAAATTAATTTCATCTATTTGTAATTTTCTAGTAATCGTATCATTAACAAGAGGATCCACGTTAGAGTTGAACATGTCAACCCTTCTCGCTGCCGGGAGGACTTCTATGCCAGACTCAAAGAAATCAAAGCCAAAAGAAGAGCAGCTCACGAAGAAAAGAGGAGAATCCTGGTACGCCAAGAATCACACGAAAATAGCAATAATAGTTATTATAGTTGTAAAATATTATAATTGTAGAGAGAAAACTAATATATAATTTATGCTTCATTGTAAATGTATATTCTCTCTGCTTGAATTGTGAGCGTAATTCATGTATGTAGGGATTTTATGAGCAATGCTTGAAATATTTTGGTGGTTTTTGTATATTATATCCATTCTTATATAATGTCTACCTTTTTTGTTTTCAGCCTGGTGAGTTAAAAAGGAAGCCAGCTCAGCCACGAGAGGGACGTCTTGTCAAAATGAAAGGAAAAGAAGTTGAGGATTTAGAAGCAATCCCGTATGCATTTTTAGGATAGAAATAACGAGAAAGGAACAACTTCTTGTAATTATTCTTTTCACAATAAATGAAGAAATTATGAAATTATACAGTACTATGTAAATAAAATAAATAATGAAGTAGGCGTGGTTAACCATTAACTAAATGGGCGTGGCCGACATCAAAATTTACGTCAAGTTTGTACTTCTTTATTGTCATGTGGTTGTTTGGTCGTTCCTCTACATCAGATTCAGTCCAGTCGAGTGTTAGTGAGGCCACACACGCCGAGAGACAAAGAAATAAGCAACTAGTCTGGCTGAAGGAGGAGATAAAGGAGTATGTTAACGTTTTAGATACTGATATCATAGATATGACTCTGTTTTGACTTCTCCCCCGTCTTCTTTATTACATCCTCTTAGTGTGGCTGAACTAGAGCGTGACAGAAGGTACAGAGCAAGTTTCACAGTCCAAGGGAAAGCCGTTACACTAGAAATGTATTAAAACTACACATTCACACTCGAGTCTAGTTGAAATTGATAATAATATTTTACTTCGTCATTAGTGTATTTTTCGTCTCTTTAGTTTCTTATCGGACAGGTTTCCATTAGAAGGACCAGTTGTCACAGCGTCTCCTTACTTTACACATCCCTGGGTTGACCAGCAGGTGGGGAGAGAGAGAGAGAAGGAGGGAAAGGAAAGGAAAGGTGTATATGTAGATTGAAAGAGAATGGAGAATATAACGAAATGGATACTCAAGTGATTCTTGATTTCATTTATTTTTGTAGATGAGAGTTATTGGATGTCCATTACTCCAACAGGTTAGGCCATTACTCAAATAATTATTGACAATTTGAAATATGCACAACATGTAAATATTATTGTTAAGAATGTTACAAATCACACTCTCCTTATGCAATAATTGATAATAGCTAGGTGTACTTCATTACTTTATATGCTATGTATTCTCTAATTTTATATATTTTTCTGCTACACTACTTACATGTTCTTTAAAATGTAGATGTACATGTACATTATGTTTTGTTTTTTTTCCAGTTCACTGTACATTCAAACCTTGGTACTGCTATTAAACAAGTGATTGACGAACTGACCACTCATCCTCCTCTATTTGATCCTCCATCATCAATGGCATCTTATCCTGTCCAGCCTCCTATGTAAGGACTATCAATTAATTAATCATTAATTAATTTAAACCCTGTACTATTGTGATTATTATTTATGTTATTAATGACTCAGTGTGTTTTTAAAACGTGTCTATCAATATCCAATGGATCATGACAAACTGAAGTACTTCTGTTTGTTTTCTTATAATTTAAATAACAATAACATTACAGTTGGCTTATAATATATCCTTGAACTATTATTAATTTTTGCTAACATTGCAACTTCATTAATTTATAGTATGTTCATTTACTCTCTCATTCTCATTCTCTCTCATTCTCATTCTCATTCTCATTCTTCTAGTCCGGTTCCATACAGTGGGCCTGGTCCCAGTTCTTTTGTCCCTCCTACCAGTACTGGCCCTTTTTCTCCTTCCTTTGCTCCTTTCTCTTATTCTTCAATGCCTCAGCCTGTCCCAATGCCTTCTAATCCTTCACCTCCAGTAGCTACTAGGGGGATGCCCTCTTCTTCTTCTTCCTCCTCCTCCTCTTCTATTTCAAGGAGACTAAGTTATTCAATACCAGAAAAAATGCCTGGAATATCTGATAAAAGGTATTCTGTACTTTATAATAAAGATTCTGGGTATTTTAACATTGTGGTGCTTCTTTCTTTCTCTCTCCTCTTTTCTGCTAGCAATGAAGAATTGGAAAAGTATTTAAATGATGAAGATTCTGTAGTTTTAATAGATCAATATATATCGAAACTTGACGTTGTAAGTTGCTATATACGAATGCACATTTTGGCTGACGTCCAAGCCCATATAGTTAATGGTAGTGTAGTATTTTTAATTACTTGTATGCAAATTTTGACTGCTGAATCATAATGGCCTCTTGTTTCAAGCTATAGTCCTTCTTATATGTATTTTGTTGTTTCTGCAGATAAAGAGAGTTCAGTCTGAAATGGAGTCCTTATTTCAGGAGAATGAAGAACTATCAAGTGAGATTCACGAACTGCATGTTACTCATTAATTTATTCTGTTTTTTCTTGTTTTAATTATATCAGAACAAAATATTGACAAGGAACCAACAATTCAATCGCAATGGAGTTCATTGCAAGAAAAAGTTTGACATACTTTTTTCTGCATTGTTAATAATAAATTATTTATTATTTTTTAGCATATTGAATTGCAGAGTTTAAAGGAGAGATATGACAAAATAATTAAGAAACAATCTCAACTAGTTGAAGTGAGTAATGCCTTTATGAAATGGGCCAAAATTTGAAAAGTTCCCTGTACTATAGCCCATGGTTTTTCCGAAAAATGGCTCGAAAATGACCCCCAATTTTCATTACATTTTCTGATACATATTGATGTACTTAAGCTGTGTAGAAAGTTTGAGCCAATTCCGATTTCAATTTTTCAAGTTATGGCCATTTGAAAAAATGGGCCAAAATCTGGAAAGTTCCCTGTACTATAGCCCATGGTTTTTTCCAAAAAATGGCTCCGAAATCACCCCTAATTTTTATTACATTTTCTGATACATATTGATGTACTTATGCTGTGTAGAAAGTTTGAAGTGATTCCAACTTTAATTTTTCAAGTTACGGCCATTTTAAGAAAGTGCCAAAATTTTGAAAAAATCCCTGTACTATAGCCCATGTTTTTTTTCCAAAAAAATGGCTCCGAAATCACTCCCAATTTTTACTCCATTTTCTGATACATATTGGTGTACTTATGCTATGTAGAAAGTTTGAGCCAATTCCGACTTCAATTTTTTGAGTTATGGTCATTTTAAGAAATCGGCCAATTTATTTCTGCATGTACATGTACTGTTATTCTTAGCTCATTCTTTTTTCACTGTTTCTTATGCAGAAATATGACAGTGCCCGTGCCACTATGCAACTAAAGACACTCTCTCAAGAAACTGATACTAATTCTGACATAATAGCTGATGATTTTCTAGAACAGAAAATGGACTGTTCAAGTTACCTACAGAAATTTCTTCAAGAAAGAAAGGTAGTCTAACATTATAGATTGACAAAGATGAAAAATACTTTTTCAAATTTTAGCACCATCATTTAAATGATTTACATGCTATTATTATTGTTATTTTTTTAATTTTTAATGTATGTTAGTTTATTTTTTCTCATTGCTTTCTAGCTGTATCATTTAAGAAGTGCAAAACTAGAAATGTTGAAGTATCAAAGGTCATAGACATATCATAATGCAACACTTAGTGATTACATATTGTCTTAATATTCATAGAGTTATTGATTATTGTTTTATTTATGTGTGAATTTTCTATTCCTTTTTTTCAAGATGGCAGTGTTTTAGCTGTATTATAGTACAATCATTGGATAATGATAATTATTACACAAATCATGTATATGTAAAATGTAAGTAGAACCTACAGTACAAAAATAAATACATGTACATGTTTATTTGCATTATATTGAAACTTCAAGTTAATACAACTATAATAGTAGGAAATTATTGTTTGATTATTATAATTATTTTCATATTAATAGTAATGTTTATAATGATAAGATAATTCTTGTTCTCATAGCTGTCATTGCAATCATTAATTCATTATTTGTATGCGACCATCAGTGGTAGAGAGCTCTTGCAGGTCTTTGGTACGTTGTTTCTGTTCCTGAGCCTCGCTAAAGCACCTCTTCTTTATACTGAAGAGCTTCTCCAGGTCGTGCCACATCTTCACTTGCTTGACTGCAAATTTGTGAGTTTCTTTGAGATCCTTTTGCTTATCCCTCAGCGCCCGCCCCAAGTTCTCCTGCTCATGTACTTTACGTGTTAGCTGATCACGGAGGTTTTTCTTTTTCTCTGCTGGATCCTTTGAAACCACGGCTTTCATTTCGGCCTTGACTCTTTGATCGTGAAGACGCACTGCTTCCAATTCGCAGCTTAGTAAGTGATATTGGCTTTCCTCTGCTATGCAGTCATTCCAAAGTCCTTGGACCTCCTTCTCAAGCTGTGACCGCTTGCTTTTCAGGCCTGCTGCCGTGCTGTCGTAAGTTGCTTTCTTTTCCCGATGGACTGATTTCACGTCTTGATGTTTTTGACGTAATGGCCTCACTGCTTTAATCAGTGGAGCAAGAACACTCTTCTTCTCTTCTATGACATCTTTTAGTGTTTGGACTGAAACTGACATTTCTTGGAGGCTTTTCTCTTTTTTCGTATCAAGCTCGCTCTTTAAATTAGACGCCTGCTCAAGGTCGTCTTGTGTGTTCTTGTATCCTGAGACTCCTTTCTTCTTCTCCATGAATGACAAGAGATCTTGTACATTCTCATCTTTCGATTTCAATATTTCTTCCGTTCGAGAGAGGACGCCAAATTCTGCCCTGAGTGCCGACATCTCTCCTTTCTTTTGCTTATAAATGGTACTAATGACCCGAAGGTGCTCTATATACTTACGAAACTCGTCCTCCTTTATCAGTTTTATCCCTCCCATCTCCTCAAGCTGCCTCTCTTTCTCTTTTTCCTCTTCCTTAACTACTTCAAGCTCTTCCATTAGGTTCTCTATCGTTTCTGCAGCAACCTGTCGTTTGTGAGCTATGAGAGATGCCTGCTGTCTAAACAGTGCAAGGTTCTCAGTCCCGGAATCATCTTCGCTCATTTTCTTGTCTATAAGTGACCGGATCTCATCATTCACCTCGTCAATCTGTTGCTGTATCACTTCAAGGTCTAATTCGCTCACGACAGGCTCCGAGACAACCTTCTCCATCTCTATACACTCCCGTCTCTTTGCCTCTATCTTCTTAGGGAGATTATCACTGGTAAGCATACGGAGGAGATTATTATCTTCTTTGGCTTTAGATAACACAAGCTCTGCCGTGAGTCCAGAAGACATCTCTTTGGTTTCTTCTAATTCACGTATCAACTTAGCCTCTTTCTCTTTAACTTGGTTTAATTGCTTTCTTTGCTCTTCTTTCTGCTTCTTAAGATCATTCCCTCTCTCCTTCTCTTTCCTCAACTTACGAGCAGAATCAAGTACCTCCTCGTGTCTGGGGTATATCTCTACTCTTCTCTTCAGTCGTTCTAGCTGACGTGAAAGCTGCTTCTTCTCTTCCTCCATAGCCTCAATATCTCGCCTAACGTCACTTGTGTTGTACTCAGATGATCGCTCAAACTCGACTGCTTTGTGAAGTTCTTTGAAGTGCTCAATCATTGAAGCATAAGTTTGATACGTTTCCTCAAGCGTCTCGTCTTGTAAATACTCCACCGGTACTTCAATTTTAACTAAAAACCGAGCAAGATAGGCACGTTTCTTCAATTCCGGCATTCTTTGAAGTAACCACGAGAGAAGAGGATAGACTGTTAGTTTTTCCCCTTGAATGAGTCCTTGACGAAAAGTATTCATGCCCTGACCAACGTCCTCCTTAGGCTTGTAGTTAAGTATTTTAAGAGTTGCAAGGAGACGAAGGGCAGTCTGTTCTGCTGGCTCATCCCTTAGGTCTAGCTTCTGTTCTGGATCAATCTCAGCTATGACATCGTTAACAACTTGTAGGAGAGAGAGTGGGTCAAGTGAGTCAAATGAGATTATAGTGTAGCTCTTATTGTACGGCTCCCTGTGGAGGGTATCCACTATATAACGGAGCTGGTCACTCATTTCGAGGCAAAGAAGGCCACAAAAAGGAGGAGGAACAAGTAACCCAATACCAAGGGCCAAAACAGACCAAGTTATGTTTATTAGAGTTGCTATGTGACGGTTGCCTGGCACCGGTTACCAAGCAACGTCTTCTTTATGTCCTCCATTGCGCATGCGTGCAGTGTATACCGCGTGGTACTCATTCAGTCGGCAGCAACCACTAGTCCACTGGTATCTCAGGACACAGGGACTATTCTTCTCCGCTCTTCCTTTAGCCTCTTTTGTCTCTCTCTTCATTGTTCCCGGAGATCCTTTCCTCGGACTTTGAAGAGGATCCTGTCCTCCATCTTGTCTCTTTGTTCCTTTTTCTTTCTGATCGGTGGCTGGTGGTTCGTTTGTCCGACGGCAGCTGTTCCTTTTAGTAAACTACTCCAGGATATTCTCCAGTACTTACTCTACCTTTACTGCTTGCTACTAACGTTGTTTCTTCTCTTTGACTCGGGTAAGATACTATTGTCGTTATGTTTTGTAACATTTCATGTTTTTCTTTCTGATAGTGGTTTATTTGTCAAAGGAGGTCAGAGAGAGGTTGGGATAAAATGGCTGACGTCGCTGTCTTGCATCAAACAGACATCCCCTCCTCTAAGCTGCCTTTTCTTTCAGAGGAAACGGCGTCCCTCCACACAAAGAAACCAACCCAATCGTCTTTAAGGAACACGTCACGATCAACCAGCTCTACCAGCAAGACAATGGCTTGGAATAAAAACACTAACAATGCTGCCGCCGGGTCTGGAACTGGTAGCAGCAGCGGGTCCGGTAATGATAAAAATCAGGGGCCCACCAGTGGGGGAGTTTCATCCAGTATCGGGGACAAGAAGAATGCTAGCGTCAAGCAGCAGGTTGAATCCGGTATAGATATACCGCATATGGATCAGGTGAGTGGCCCCCATTGCTGCATGTAAGGGATTGCTGGTATGTGTGACGCGTATACATGTACCTACTGAATGTTGTCTGTTTAGCGCCTTCTTTCAATTCTCACCTCTTCTACGTTTTACACGTACATGTATGTCCAACCCTCTTCTTCTTTCCAACCATTGAGTAAGACCCACTCTATTTCTTGCTTATTCCTCTCTCACGTATGCATGCATCCATGTCTTATGCTAGTAAATTAATGAGTAGTTTTTCATAATTTACTCATTACTATCTGCTATGCTTCCCTACGTGCCAAGCTTTCACAATGGTCTCCTGGCAGTCTTGACTGTTATTGTTATTGTTGGTACTCTCTGTGTGTGTAGATTCAAATGAGAACTAATAGATTAACATACATGTATAAGAGACTGATTTGAGTATAACTGTGATACTTTTTGACTGCAAGTTGATTGCCATTGTTGTTTTGAATAATAATGAACAAGAGGCTACATGTATATACTAACTCATAAGAATTTATGTTCATGAATACAACAATTTTTTTAATTGCTTAGAACTATTGGTTATGTTGCATTCCTCTATCTTAATCCTTTCTAATTCTCCTAGTTATTATTATTAAATTATGTCTTCTCTACTTCTTATAGCAATGGGAGATAATCCAAGATTCAGGCAGTTGGCCAGCTCTTAGTGAATCCAGCACTCACCCTACTACTACTGCCCCTCCCCCTCCTGCTGTTGCTTCTTCAAAGGAGTCTCCACCATTAAAGGATCAGAAAAAGGTGAGCCACTCTCTCTCTCCCCCTCCCTCCCTCCCTCCCTCTCTCCCTCACTCTCCCTCTCCCTCTCTCTCCCCCTCCCTCCCTCTCTCTCTCTCTCTCTCTCCCTCTTTCTCTCTCACTCTCACACACATGGTGTCCTCATACACTGACCTGTTGTAGTATAACAAACGATGAACATAGACCCACTATGATAACATTTGGTACACAATGGGCCACTGTTTTGTGTATACTGTCATATTTCACAACCTTTGTCCATCATATATTAATACATAGCCAGGATTAAATATAATAGCCTCTACTGTAGCAGGTCTATAGTTCCAAATTCTAATTATGTAAATGTACAAGTACATACATTATCAGTGTTTTGTTGCACATACATAAGACTTCACAATGATATGAGTATGACACAGTTATGTAAAGCAATCCATCTTATACAGACTATACAGTTAATAATTAAATAACTCCTACACGTGTCATTACAATGTGTATGTGTGTGTACCAGTATATTGCTTTAGACAATGCCACCTGTTTATTTTGAAGTGGCTGTACATCTCTCTTCCATGTAAGATTCATTTTGTCTTGTTTTGATTACACTATGGGAGATATAACATCTAAACTTTTTGATAATGTCCTAGTTGATTTAATTTTGAATGGAGAGGGAGGAAGAGAGAGGAGGAGGGGGGCAGAGCTTGTGAGAGGAATGAATCCTGTGAGTAGGAGAGAAGGGATTGAGATAGTTAATAGTCTGGGCGGTTTGATTATCACTACAGCAGCTGCTCCTGCCAAGTGCTGTACTATGATCTTGTTTCTGTTTATACATGTGCATGATGCAATCAGTATTTGTCATCTCTCTCTCTCTCTCTCTCTCTCTCTCTCTCTCTCTCTCTCTCTCCAGCCAACTGAAAAGACTGATCCAGCTAATAAAAGTCCAAACTCAACTGCTAGTCTTCAAGACAATGACCAGAAGCTTAATGGCAGCAACAGTGGCAAGAAGAAAGGTAACAAATAATAAAATTAACATTCACTATACATGTGTATTTTAGTACATGTGCCTGGGTGTACCATTAATTGGGAAAAATTTGAAACAATTTCGTGGAATTTTAATATATAGCTGTGAAGAGTGCATGCCTTAAATTTGACCCTAATTGACATATCTTGTGGGATATTTAAAACAAATTTTTTATCTTATCACAATTAATTACCACATCTATAATGATTATACAAAAGAACCTCCTATTCCCCACACACCTGTATAATAATGAGGACATTTTGTATTGTCCCAATTGGTACAAACCTATACAAAAGTACCTCTGAAATGAGGACACCTCTGTATTAAGGACAGGTAGTGTGGACCCAATGGTGTTCTTAGTAAAGAGGCTACACTGTACATATATTAAGGACAGGTAGTGTGGGCCTAATGGTGTTCTTAATAAAGAGGCTACACTGTACATGTATTAAGGACAGGTAGTGTGGGCCTAATGGTGTTCTTAATAAAGAGGCTACACTGTACATGTATTAAGGACAGGTAGTGTGGGCCCAATGGTGTCCTTAATAAAGAGGCTACATTGTACATGTATTAAGGACAGGTAGTGTGAGCCCAATGGTGTCCTTAATAAAGAGGCTACACTGTACATGTATTAAGGACAGGTAGTGTGGGCCCAATGGTGTCCTTAATAAAGAGGCTACACTGTACATGTATTAAGGACAGGTAGTGTGGGCCCAATGGTGTCCTTAATAAAGAGGCTACACTGTACATGTATTAAGGACAGGTAGTGTGGGCCCAATGGTGCCCTTAATAAAGAGGCTACACTGTACATATATTAAGGACAGGTAGTGTGGGCCCAATGGTGTCCTTAATAAAGAGGCTACACTGTACATGTATTAAGGACAGGTAGTGTGGGCCCAATGGTGTCCTTAATAAAGAGGCTACACTGTACATGTATCAAGGACAGGTAGTGTGGACCCAATGGTGTCCCTAATAAAGCTATCCTTTGTGTCTGTACATGTACATTTATAATGTCTGTATGCTTACTATGAATGGCTCTG